TTAAAGCACAAATAAAAACATAGTGAAGGGGTGGTTAAATATTACATGCAAAGGCCCTTGCAGTGGTCCAAGGGCCATTGCACACACAAAAACATCTCCAATTTTACTGCCCAAATACTGAGTTGTGCAGTCAAGTGTATTAAATGTTATTCTGATTTTTCTCATCACTTCACTAGGAAATCTTCTCATACCAAAATCAATCTTTAAAATGTGAGTATGACCAAAGATTGATTGATATCAAAGGAAATGGGGAAAAAAGGAATATGCTCACTGGTTTTTGATCACTGATTATTTGTGGTTCCAGTCCACATGGTCTTTTCATTTCTGAGAATGGTGGGGAGTATAGTTTTTACCTCCTCCTCTCAGAGAAGGGTGAAAAATAATAAAAAAATGTTTTTTATCATTAAAGATAAGCTTTAGCGTCATTGTTGTTTAGAACAGGTCTTGAAACTAGCTCCTGAGATGATTTTTCCGTTGCTCATACTCCTGAAAATTGGCCAAAATGAGGGGAAGACTCAGTCAGCACAGCAACACGGGGAAATATTTCTGTATTTCCAGATGAAAATTTCAAGGGATGCTGACAGGACAGAAATGGAATGGAGACGGGATAGTGTTGGGGTGCAAGGAGAGTGGATTAGGAAAATTAGATAGGATAAAGGCAGGTTGAAGGAGAGAAGCAGGAGGATCACAGAACCCCAGAATGGTTTAGGTTGGAAGGGACCTTAAAGGTCATCTCATTCCACTCCCTGCCATGGCCAGGGACACCTTCCACTATCCCAGGTTGCTCCAAGCCCTGTCCTTGGACACTTCCAGGGATCCAGGGCAGCCACAGCTTCTCTGGGCAGCCTGTGTGATGCAGATGGAGTGGAAAAGGGATGGGTGTGGGATGCAGGAGGGTTTAGGAAAGATACAGGCAGGTTGGAGGAGGAAAACCAGGTGGCAGAGAGGCCAGCTGGAGGAGAGAAACAGGAAGGAAAAGGTATAGAGGCAGGATGGAAATGGGATAGCAGAGGTGGGATTCAGGAAAAATCCAGACAGGTTGCTGGAGGAAAACTAGATGGGATAGAGAGAGGATAGAGGAAGGAAGCAGGAAGGATGTAGATGGGATTAAGCAGGGATAAAGGTGGGGTTGAGGAGGAATTCTGACAGATTAAAAGATGAAAACGAAATTGGATGGAGCACAGCAGGAAGAGAGAAAGGCAGGAGGAATGATCCAGGATGGGATGGCAGAGGGAGGAACACCTGTGGGATCGAGGAAGGCCAGAGACAGGCTAGGGGAGGAATACAGGTGGGATGGATGCGGGATTGAGGAAGGATGCAGGAAGGGTGGAGGTATGAACACCAGGTGGGATGGAGGAGGAGGGATGGAGGCAGAGCAGGGGCACAGGCAGGATGGTGGAAACCTGCAGGAAGAGGGGCAGGGATGGAGGCAGAAGAGAAGCAGGCAGGATGAAGGAGGGGAGGAAAGAGGGGAGGAAAGAGAGGAGCAGCGATGGAGCCGGGATCAGGGCTAGACGGGGGGATGGATGGAAGCAAGGATGGATGGCTGGAAGCACTGAGAGATGGCTGGAAGGAGGGATGGATGGAAGGAGGGACGGATGGAAGGAGGGATGGAGGGAAGCAGGGATGGAGGGAAGCAGGGATGAATGGATGGAAGCAGGGAGGGATGGCTGGAAGGAGGGATGGAAGGAAGCAGGGATGGAGGGAAGCAGGGATGAATGGATGGAAGCAGGGAGGGAGGGAAGCAGGGATGAATGGATGGAAGCAGGGAGGGATGGCTGGAAGCAGGGAGGGTTGGATGGATGGAAGCAGGGAGGGATGGAAGCAAGGACGGATCCATGGAAGCAGGGATGGATGGAAGCAGGGATGGCTGGAAGCAAGCAGGAGTGGATGGATGGAAGCAAGCAGGGAGGCGGGCTCTGGGGGCGGGCAGCCGGCAGGATGCTGTCACACCGGGGGCGGGCCGGCGGGGATGACTCAGCCTCCGGGAGCTGCCCCGGCCGCGATCACCGAGCGGGGCCGTGAGCGCCGCTGAGAGCCGGGGGAGCCGGGGACGCGCACAAGGAGCGGCAGGAGCGGTAAGGGAGGGGATGCTCAGGGACAGGGGGCACAGAAAATAGGGCACATCCTTTCGGGGCTCCGTGAGGGCCACGGAACACCCGCAGGGACAGCAGCAGCAGCGTCCCCCGCTTTTTCCAGCGGCGCTTTGGGGGATTTTTGTCCGGGATGCGCAATGCAGGGTGAGCGATGGGGGATGCGCTGCGGCGGAGGTTGTGGCAGGGAAAATGAGCGCTCGAAAGGCGTAAAAACCTTCAAGGAAGGTCACGGGAGGAGAGAGGAAGCCTTGTTTTTATGTTAGAGACAGGAAAAACAGCGCAGCCCTGCTCGTCAGCTGACGCCGAGCTCGGTTTGGCACCCTGGGAGCATCCCGTGATGCAAACCCAGCCTGGGTTTGGACAGGACCATGGCTTGGGAATGGCGATGGAGAAGCTGCCATGGGCTCCTCTGGCCTGGAATGAATCTCTGTCCCCTTATCCCACTGCCAGGGATGCTCTGAGGGCGCGGTGATGTAGCAAACATCGCTTCCTTCTGGCATTTCCCTCGAAATCTCCTGTCCTGCCGTAGCACGGGGGCTTGTGCAAGACTCTGGTTTAGGGATTGGTTTGTAAGCATAACAGGGAAAAAAAAAAAAGAAAAATCAGTGCAGCTTCATTTGGGAGGAATCTTGTGCTTTCTGTGCATGTAAGCTGCATAAGTGAGTGCTGCAGCTTGGCTCAGGAGGGAATTATTTTGTCAGATACAGAACAGCCTGGTCTAGTAGGGTCGAAATTAGATGACCTTTAGGATCTCTTCCAACCCAAACCTCTCTAGGATTCTGTTACCTGACCTGTGTTAGCGATCTGGCTTTGCTAGAAGGGAATAAACACAGGGAGGAGCACCTCATGTTGTTTTGTTTTTTTTTTTCTCAATGAAAATATAATTCCAGCTCTGGTAATGCAGAGAGAGCTGTAATGAATGCAGGTTTGGTGCTGCCGAGCTCACCTGGTGACGCAGCAGGCTGAGCTGGATCTGGAGCTGCAGCTGAGCCTTTCTGGGCTGGCTTTGTTGTGGCTGGGAGTCACAAGCCCTGGCAAAGAGAACAAAGGACAGAGCTGGGCCCGGGCTAAGGGCTGGTGCTGAGCGGGACACAGGATTTGGGCTGTGCTGAGCAGGACACATGATTTGGGCTGTGCTGAGCATCCCTGGAGGGCTGGGGGGTGTTGTAGAAGGGAGGGTGGGACAGCTTTTACCTTCCCAGAGCCTTAGAGAAGGAAGGTGTGGATGGCTCCTTGGAGAAGGTGTGGATTGCTCCTTGGAGAAGGAAGTTGTAGATGGCTCCTTGGAGAGGGAAGGTGTGGATGGCTCCTTGGAGAAGGAAGGTGGGGTGGCTCCTTGGAGAGGGAAGGTGTGGGTGGCTCCTTGGAGGAGGTGTGGATGGCTCCTTGGAGAAAGGAGGTGTGGATGCCTCAGTCTGTGCCTGCAGGGGGTTGGCCCAGACACTGCAGCAGGAGCTGGGAGATGCTTCAGGGCTGTGACTTATCTGTGGTCTGACCTGCCTGGGCTGAGTCATGTGAGCTGGGCTCCGAACAGCCGGTTTGGGGGTTGGGTTGGTGCCTTTTTCTTTCTTGAATAAAGTTAAGTGGGACTCATGGGCTTTGTTTTGGGGTAGGAGAGCTTTGTGGTGCAAAGGTGAAGGGATTTGCTGCTGTGGGCACTGAATGTGTGTCAGCCTTGGCTGCTGGAGGGTGATGTGGGGTCCTGCTGAGGGCTGGGATATCAGGATCTCTGCTGGTCAGAGTGACTCTGAGATAGGTACAAGTCTCTTTCCCAGTGTCAAAGAAGGAGTGAGGATTCTTCTGTTCTCGTTCTCAACGTTGTTCATTGTTTCTTATTTATACCATTCTTTCTCTGGCCTGCTGAGGTCTGTCTGGCAGGTTGGGTTGAGGCACACTGACTGCCCTTGTGTTATCTTTTCATACTAAAAACTACATGTGCATTATTTACAATAACTTCCCAATACCTATCACCTATGTTAGACAGTGAGTTTCTACCTTAAACCAATCCAAAAGTGCCAACATAATCCAGAAGATGGAGGTCAAGAAAAAAAACAGAAGGACAAGGTACACCCAAATTCCTCCATCTTGGGACCCTGAGACCTCATTCTAAAACCCAAAAAAATCTATTTGTTTGTCACCCTGTGACAAACTATTATTCTACTTAAGCTCTCTTGACTTGTAATTCTTCATATCAAGGTGGTAATTTGCTCCATGGCACAAAATCAAAGGTCTGTGAGCCCCCTGGGCAGGGGCTTGAGCCATCCAAGGCAGCCAGAGGGATGTCCTAGCTTCCAACAGGCTGGGATATCAGGATTTGATTATCGAGGAGCTCTGTCCAGGAGAAAACAGTTGATATTGTTAAAAAAAAAAGGGAATTTAAAAACATTAAAAACATAGATGATGATGATGATAATAATAGATGATGACAACTTCATCCTTTCGTTACAAAACAAAAAAGGTTAAAAACCTTCTGTTTATTGCAATTAGAATTGCTAACATTTTCAATAATAATGACAGCAGATAATGACAACTTCATATTTTCATTACAAAACCAAAAAGGCTAAAGAACTTCTGTTTATTGCAATTGGAATTGTTAACATTTTTAATAATAATAATAATAATACTAATAATAATAGCAGATAATGACAACTTCATCCTTTCATTACAAAACAAAAAAGGTTAAAAACTTCTGTTTATTGCAATTGGAATTGTTAACATTTTCAATGATGATGATGATGGTGATGATGATGTATCAGTTTAGGGGGCTGCCCGGGCTGCCCGATCTGCTCAGGAGGGATGGGGATGGCTCTGGGCTGGTGTCTCCTCCTCCTCTGCGGCAGCACGGAGGGCTGTGGGTGGATGCTGCAGCACCAGCACAGCCACAGCCCTGGGGCTGCTCTCCTCCCTCGCAGGCTGCAGCTGCTCTGAGCAGCTCCTCTCTGCAGAGCCTTCGGCCTCGCTGCCTCCTCCTCGCTGGGACAGGGGCTGCACTCAGCTGCCCCAAATTTCCTCTTTCTGAGCGACCAGCTGGCTGAATCCTGAGTGTCCTGTCCCACCCAGGGGCACGTGTGCTGGTGGGTGTTTATTTCTTGTTTATTGCTTGCTCATCCTTTAAGAAGTGGTTTGGAGCTCAGAGTATTCCCTGCTCTCAGGCCAGGGGAAGGTGGGGGGACATGAGGGGCTCTTTGTGAGCCCCAAACATCCTCCTGCCAGCTGGGGAATCCTGCAGGGTGAAGCTGACCCCTTATTTCTGTTTCCAGGCTGGTGGGATGGGAGCTGTGAGAGGATCAACCTTGGCCAGGGTTATCCTGAAGCTGAGGCACCTCTGGAGATGTTTGGGGTACAAAGGGAAAGGATCTGCTGAGGTTCCTGGGGAAGCTCCTCTGCCCTGTTTGCTGTGCATGAATTGGGGGGCAGATGTTGGGGTGCAGCAGCTGTGATGCAATTTTGGTGTTTGGGGCTGCTGCTGTGGGGTTTGAACAGCCCGGAGGTTTGAGTGTGAGGAGGAGATAGCGGTGCTGGGGGAAGCACAGTGCGATAACGCTGCCAGGGGAAGCTTTGCTGCTCAGATCAGCTGGGGTACAGGGGCTGAGGGAGGAAAGCAGCAGCTTTTTGTCGCTGTAGGGTCTCTGGGGTTGTTGTGGTTGTGCTGCATGTGACCCACGCCCGGTGGGAATCCGTCCTGCCAGTCCCGTGCCTGTGCCCTATTTATAGCCCTGCTGTACACAGGATAAAGCCAGGGAGAAGGGGGGGTTAGGGAGGAGCAAATCCCACGGGGGTGAAGATTTCCCTTTCCTTCTCCAGACACCTGATCTTGCCTGTCAGCTCCCACCACTCGAAACTTCCCATTGGAGACCTCATAGAATAATAGAAAGGTTTGGGGTGGAAGGAATGTTTAAAAAATTTAATTCCAGCTTCTCTGCCATGGGCAGGGACGTCTTCATAGCATTTAACTGTGTATTTTAACTGTATGTCAGGTTGCTCAGAGCCCTGTCCAACCTGACATTGATTGTTTTTTGGGATGGGGCATCCCCCATCTCTTGGGGCAACCTGTTCCCTCATAGGGAAGGATTTCCTTCCCAATATCCCATCCATCCCTGCCCTCTGGCAGTGGGAAGCCATTCCCTGTGTCCTGTCCCTCCATCCCTTGTCCCCAGTCCCTCCCCAGCTCTCCTGGAGCCCCTTTAGGCCCTGGAAGGGGCTCTGAGGTCTCTCTGGAGCCTTCTCTCCCCCAGGCTGGACACCCCCAGCTCTCTCATGGCCCACAGGCAGGCTCCATGCCCACAAGAGGAGTTTTTTTGGGGTTTTTTTGCCTCAAGAGCCATCTGGCTCCCAGCTATTTGCTTTGCTGGGTTTGCTGGCCCTGGGCCATGTCCATGGTGCAGATGCAAAGCAGCAGAGCTGAAACTCTGCCTCTTTCAGGGGAAACTGCTGGGATCTATTTTCACTTTGGTTTCGGGTTGCCTGGAGAGCGTGGTCTGGTAACCTGAGGCTGGGAGATGTCCCATGCCTGTCCCTCAAAAGCTGGGTGTGAGCAGCCCATCAGTGCCTGGCAGGGTGGTTTTCAGCCTGTCAGCAGATTTACAAACATCCTGCTGCAAGAAAAAATGTGTAATCATGTGACTTCTGGCCTCAAAAACACCTCCTGCCTCTGCTATGGGAAAATACTGAGTTGACTGCAGGAAGTACAGAGGGTTGTGGGGTTTGATGTTTTTGTGTGTGTGCATTTTTTTTTATTATTTTTATGAGATTTTTCATTTAAAAGGTGCTTCAACTCAGGCTGGTTACCTGCAGACTTTCTGTGGCCTGTTGTGGGCAAAGAGCACAGTTGTATTGTAAATGTATATTTATTTTCCTGGGTGTAACCTCCTGTGCAAACAGGGGAGCACAGCCAGCGAGTCCCTTGCCTGCAGAAACCTTTAAGCAAGAAAATACCCATGAAACCCCTGAAAAATGTGCATAAAACCCCTTCACAGAGTTGATATTTAGGAGTGGGAGGACCCAAGTGCTGCTGAAATTCAGCTTTTTTTTATGGGTGTCCTGCTGAAAGCACAAAGCAGGGGGAACAAAATAAATACATGATGGAAGGAGGAGTGGGAAAGGAGAAAAAAAGCCCCTTTATACAGCAAGCTGCAGCCTCCTGGGCTCACTGCTGGCAGAAAGTAGGACACTCCTGCTGGGTTTTCTTCTCTGGAAAGGCTAAACTTGGCTGGGAGTGGGTGGAAGCAGCCAGCAGGGAGGTGTGAGTGTGTGTGGCTCCATCCCCATGCCCTGCTCATCCAGCAGGAGCTGTGTGTCCGGTTTAAAGCTTGCCAAGGTGATTACACCTTCAGCTGCCTGAGCTGAGCAGGAATTAAAGCCTGGATGTCTCTGCTGGGGAGGATCTGAGGGCTTGGGGTGCTCACCAGGCTTGGGGTGGATGTGGGGCTGCTGGGAGGGTTTGGGGGAGGAGGAGGAGGGTGCCCTGGTGTGTTTGCAGAGATAAAGGAGCTTGTGTTGTGTCTGAGTCAGGTTTGAGGACGTGGAACAAGTGGCTGCTGGCGCTGGGGGTAAATTTGAAGTTGGGCAATTTGGTGTGAATTAGGTTAAAGGGGAGGGCAGGGAAATCACAGAGCCCTGGGGTGTTTGTGGGCTGCATGGTGCTTGTGCTCCTGCATGGGAGGCTGTGCTCCTTTCTTTCCTGCTCTTCTTTTGTGTCTCTGACCCCCAAATTGGGGCTTTCTTCATTCCCTGCACCTTCCCAGTGGGAGGGGAGCAGAGGACAGGAGCATCTGCTGACCCCCCTGTAAATGGACAGGGGGTCACACCAGGGGCTGTGACACCCCCAGGGCATGGGGATGGCCAAAATGAGTCTTTAAAAATGTAATTTGGAATACTGTCTTTAAAGGGAAGAGCAGGGCTTGTATCAAATCCCATGCCTGAAGTAGGGTGTGGAGATGGGATGTCACTTTTTCCTTCTCCTGGTCCATTGTTGTGGAAGTAAACACAGGTTTTAATACCCTCTAAATCCCTTGGATCTGCTTCAAAAGGTATTTTCCTGCTGCTGCTAATCCTGCAGTGGTCAACAAACAAGGTTGCCTTGTCTGATTTCTCCTGAGCTGCAGCGGGGGGGTTCTTGCTCTGTTCCTGTGTCTCTCTCCTGACCTTTGGGGCAATTGGGGATCTGGTGCAGCCACACATTTTATCCTCCCACATGTTGCTGCAGCTGAGCCCACCCTGGGGATGTCCCAACACTGCTGCAATGTGTCTGCAGGTGGGGTGTCCTGTGCAGCAGCCAAGATGTGGCCGCCCATGTCCCTCCTGTGTGTCCTGGTGGCCTTCGCCAACGCTCGCAGCATTCCTTACTTCCCTCCCCTCTCTGATGACCTGGTCAACCACATAAACAAGCTCAACACCACCTGGAAGGTGAGTACTGTGCTGATTTGGGGGTTTTTTGGGGGGGAGGCATTGCTGGCAGTCTCTGTGGGATTCAGTGGCTGGGCTTTGGGAGTGTCACCGTGGTGGTGACAGAGATCCAGCCTTGGTCCCAGCTGGATTCTCCAGTGAGGTGATGCTGTCACAGGAACTGTGGAGCTCCTCCTTGGAGCAGAGCAGGATGAATTTGTGGAACAGGAGCTGCTGGTTCTTTGCTTTTTTTTTCCTTACCAAGCTTGGTGCTCGAGATGGTATTTTGTGTTCAGACTCAGATGTTTATTATTTCTTATCTATAACACAGTCTCAGAAGCTGTAATTCTACAGCATTTCACTGACAAGCTACAAAAGGCCCTGTATCCATCTCTATAAGGTCTTTTAAGGAAAAACTATATAATTAAGAAATGACACTTAAATTATTTTCACTTTTAACTCAGTAACTAATCACTCGTGTCCCACAATGAGGATTAATTACATAATTAATTACATTATAAAAAATTACATTAGAAATACAAATACAAAAATGCATTATAAATTATAAAATACAATATAAAAATACATTATAAAAATTACATAATTAATTACATTAATAATTGTCTAATTACAAAATACTACTCAAACCCATGAAGAAGAAGGATTAACCTCTGCCTTAAAACCTCTGTCTTGCTTCACATCTGTTATTATGTTCTAAAACATTAAACTCTTAAGTTTTCCACCACCTGATATTACACACTTCTAATCAAACTCCACACCTATAATCTCAGTTCTGTCATTGAATTTTGGAAGCTTTCTCTACAGCCTCAGGTCAAATGTAGTGTTCTCCAGGGGGTCAAATCTGTCAGCACAGAAAGTCTGAAATTCTCAGCATGCAGGGTTCCAACATCTCCTTCCCCTCTTGTCTGAACCATGAACACTGCTCTGACAGCTTTGTCAAACCTCTGTTGGATACACTGAGAAGTAGAGGAGGAATAATGTAAAAGAAGGAAACTGCAGGAGGCTGGAAACAAGCAGTGAATGTCCAGTTATTGGTGACCTGAGTCTCCTTGGCCAGTTTGCTGTGTCCAAAGCCTTGAGCTGGACCTTACTGGTCCTGATGGGCTGGTCCTGGGCTGTGTTCTGTGTCTGTAGGTGCTTGGCTCTTGGCCCCTGGGCTTTGCAGCAAGTGTCAGACTCTGGCTGGGGTTTAGGATCTCCGGAGCACCAAGCTGTGATCCCAGAGATGCTCTTGGTGGCTCTGGAGAGTCCTGTCCCAATTCTGTGTGTGTCTCTCCCCAGGCAGGGCACAACTTCCACAATGCTGACATGAGCTATGTGAAGAAGCTCTGTGGCACCTTCCTGGGTGGGCCCAAGCTCCCTGAGAGGTGAGTGCAGGGAGGGGAAGGTGAAGCTCCAGTAGAAGTTGTGTGCATCCTTCATGAGCATCTGGAGTGGATGAGGGGCTCTCCTGGTGGGGTGGACACTGTTCATGGGATTAAGCACACATGAGGGGAATATCCATCCTGTGTCCTGGCAGACCCTTGGCCAGTTGTGCAGTTTGTTCTCCTTGAAAATGAACACTCCAGGGAAGCTGCTGACCTGCTCTGAGGACAGCATAAGTATTTGTGCTCCTTCAGTGAGCAAATAACACAAACATCCTCCAGGCCACCTTCAGAGGAGGCTGGAGAGTGCAGTGCACCCTGTCGTGCTTCAGTGGTGTTTCTGAGACAGGATTTCCCTCTCCTCTCAGGGTGGATTTTGCTGCAGACGTGGAGCTGCCCGATAACTTCGACTCACGGACGCAGTGGCCCAATTGCCCCACCATCAGTGAGATCAGAGACCAGGGCTCCTGTGGCTCCTGCTGGGTGAGGACAGGGGAAATTTAGTGTTGTGTTCATAAAATTTACTGACCCAGGCCTTTGTATTTGCTGCTGAACCCCCTGCCATGGACAGGGACAACTCCCACTATCCCAGGTTGCTCCAAGCCCTGTCCAGCCTGGCCTTGGACACTTCCAGGGATGCAGGGCCAGCCACAGCTTCTCTGGGCAACCTCTGCCAGGGCCTCCTCACCCTCACAGCCAAGAATTCCTTCCCAATATCCCATCCATCCCTGCCCTCTGGCAGTGGGAAGCCATTCCCTGTGTCTTGTCCCTCCATGCCTGGTCCCCAGTCCCTCTCCAGCTCTCCTGGAGCCCCTTTAGGCCCTGGAAGGGGCTCTGAGACCTCCCTGGATCCTTCTCTTCTCCAGGTGAGCACCCCCAGCTCTCCCAGCCTGGCTCCAGAGCAGAGGGGCTCCAGCCCTTGGAGCATCTTTGTAGCCCTTAGTGAGAGTACACTGAGATCCTGCAATGTCTGAGCTCCTGGGTGCCTTCTCCCAGCCAGGCCATGCTTGCTGCTCTCATTTCCAGGAGGTTTCCTGGTTTCTCTCCCCTGGCTGAGCTCTAATGTGTGTTTTGGGGTTGCCCTCAGGCTTTTGGCGCCGTGGAAGCGATTTCAGACCGGATCTGTGTCCACACCAACGCCAAGGTCAGCGTGGAGGTCTCGGCTGAGGACCTGCTGTCGTGCTGTGGCTTCGAGTGCGGCATGGGGTGAGCTGCTCCTGGTCCTTGTGCTCCTGGAAGGTGGTTGGGAGGAGCAGGGGCAGACCCTGGAGGTGCCTTTGTTACCTCCTTTAGGAGCACAGAGCTCCTCCAGGGGTTTGTGCTGTGGATGAGGGAGTTTGGTGGGAACATAAAGGTGATTCCAGGGACTGGGATACATCCTGTCTCCAGCATGGTGGGTGGTGATGGCTGCAACCACTTAATGGTGCTCTCCCACACAGAGCTGGCAGCTGCCAAAGCCCAAAGAAGGGTCTTTTCTTAGTCCCAGATCCTTGGTTTTCAGGCACAAGCCTTTTGCCTGTGGCTTTCCCAGTTGTTGAGCACAGGGTAGGGAGTTGAGTCTCCAAGTCCTCCCTGCTGCTACCAGGTCAGGGACCTGGTAATGAGGCACTTTGGGATTTGGATGCTCTTACCTCCTCGCCTGAGGCCTTGGTGTCTCAAGGCAGATCCTGGGGAAGAAAAGAACAGACTAGAAAAAGGTTTAATATGCCCAAACCTTCCTTCGAACCATCGCAGGCTGGCTCCATTCCCTTGCCTCTCCCAGAATGGGATGGCTGGGGCTGGAGCTGGTGTCTTTCCCCCCCAGGTGCAATGGTGGTTACCCCTCTGGTGCTTGGAGGTACTGGACAGAGAGGGGCCTCGTGTCCGGGGGTCTCTACGATTCCCACGTGGGTAAGTCCTGGCTGATTCCCTTGGGGAAGCAGGGAGGAGCAGCTCTGCTTGCTTAAAGTTCATGGATTTTGGGACCCTTCTCTCCTGGTTTGCATCCTTGTGGCTGCTCCCTCCTTCAGCTCAAGCACCTCCGCAGTCCCAGCTGGCTGCCCCTGCCCTCATGGCTCCTTCCTTTGGGACAAAGGTCCTTGAGCAGCACCCAGAGGCAGGAGGCCCATCTGGGAAGGGAGCCAGGAGCCCTCAACACACCCCCAAGGCTCCTGTTTCCATAGCAGGAATGAATCAGGCCGTGAATTTTGTGCTGTTGCTGGTTTTGAACCAGTTCACTACGCTTTGGATGAGGTCAGGAGTGTTCCTGATGTATTCCCCCTTCAAAAAATAACTTCCAGACTGGAACCCTCTGCCTTCTCCTTGTCATGACCATCAGCTGGTTCACGTTTCCACCTTTTCCATCACCATTTGGAGAGGGAGGTGGTGGGAAACATGTTTTTCATGGAAGGAACACCTCCTGCACCCCACTAATTTGTGAGGTTCCCGGGGCAGAAAGTCTTTTTCCTTGGGTTTCTGCTGCTTTCTCCAGCATGGCTATTGGCATCTCTGGGGACAACCAGTTGATGTCACCTCTGTCCTGGACAGGCTGCTGGCCCAACACCAGCCCTCAACACACCCCCAAGGCTCCTGTTTCCATAGCAGGAATGAATCAGGCTGTGAATTTTGTGTTGTTGCTGGGTTTGAACCAGTTCACTGCACTTTGGATGAGGTCCTGACTTCCAGACTGGAACCCTCTGCCTCCCCCTGTCATGACCATCAGCTGGTTCACGTTTCCACCTTTTCCATCACTATTTAGAGAGGGAGATGGTGGGAAGCGGGTTTGTTGGGAAACATGCTGCTCATGGAAGGAAGACCTGCACCCCACTGATTTTGTGGGGTTCCTGGGGCTTCTGGTGACTTCTCCAGCATGGCTATTGGGATCTTTGGGGACAACCAGTTGATGTCACCTCTGTCCTGGACAGGCTGCCGGCCCTACTCCATCCCACCGTGCGAGCACCACGTGAACGGCAGCCGCCCCCCCTGCACTGGGGAAGGAGGGGGCACCCCCAGGTGCAGCAGGCACTGTGAGCCTGGCTACTCACCCTCATACAAGGAGGACAAGCACTATGGTAAGGGAGGTGGCCTCCAGAGCTGCTCCTCGTGGTACCTGGGAGGGGTGGGCAGGATTGAACCCGTTCCTTGTCACAGACGTGTTTTATGAAAAATCCTTTCCTTGGGATTTTTCCTCCTGGGAAGCTGGGAGGCCTCAGGAGCAAAATGCAAACATTGATTATCTGCTGCTGTGGAATGCAACAGGTGGATCTGTGATTGCTCTCATGTGGTTGTTTCTAATTAATGGCCAATCACAGCCCAGCTGTCCAGACTGTCTCAGTCACAAACTGAGACATTCCTTGTTATCATTCCTTTTCTATTCTTAGCCAGCCTTCTGATGAAATCCTTTCTTCTATTCTTTTAGTATAGTTTTAATATATATAATAAAATAATAAATCAAGCCTTCTGAAACATGGAGTCAACATTCTCATCTCTTCCCTCATCCTGGGACCCCTGCAAACACCACCGCAGTTCCTGGTGGGTTTTTCTCCTGTGCCCTGTCCCTGGTGGTCCTGGAGCAAAGCTGAGTGTGGCAGATGCACAATTTGTGTTTGCTGAGGCTCAGCTGGGAAGGCGGAACTGGTGGAACTGGTTGGAGGCCTTGAGGTGCACGTGGATGGCTTGAGGAGCGTGGTGTCAAAGCCACCTCCAAGTCTCCTTGGCAGCCCTGCACATTTAGGATAATCCGGCTGTTTCTTGGAGATTTGTCTGCACCTTGAGTGTTTTGGGTTTTGAAAAGGAGAATGTACAAGGGGAAAATGTCCCTTCCCACTAAAGCTGTCTGGAATAGATCTTTGGGTACAGAATAGGACTCAGATTAAATAATTCCTTCTAGAAGAGGGATGGCTGGAGCCCACTTTTCATGCTTGGCTGTGTCAGTCCCTCTGGAGCTGCTGGGTTGGGATTTAACCTGAATTTAAGTGCAAGAGGCCTCCTGCAGGGTCACACTGAGCCATCCTGTGTGGCCCATCCTAATGGTGGGAATTCTTTTCCTTTTAGGCATCACATCCTACGGAGTCCCTCGCAGTGAGAAGGAAATCATGGCTGAGATCTACAAGAACGGCCCAGTGGAAGGAGCCTTCATTGTCTACGAGGATTTCCTGATGTACAAATCTGGTGAGCAGCACCACTGGGGCTGTGGGGGGAGAGTTTCAACCTGGGGTCCCTCTTTTGTGGCCCTGGTCTGTCTTCTCCAGTCTTGGAGATCTCAACCATACACCTGAGTATCTGCTGTGGCAAAGACATGGGCAGGTGCCACCTCCTGTGTCCATAGCAAGAGGAATCAGGTCTTGGAATTGGATCAGCCCTCATGGGAAGCACCCCAAATCCCAGCTGGCAGCAGCAGCTCAGATTTTAGGACCTCAAAATTCTTCTTGTGAACTTTGAGCCCCTTGGGGAATGTGTCTGGGTGTCCTGTGTGCTCTGAGCATCAGTCACAGAATTATGGAATGGTTTGGGTGGGAAGATAATGATTTAAAAATCTTCCCATTCCAATCCCTGCCATGGGCAGGGACACCTTCCACTATCCCAGGTTGATCCAATCCCTCTCCAGCCTGGCCTTGGACACTTCCAGGGATCCAGGGGCAGCCACAGCTGCTCTGGGCAACCTGTGGCCAGGGCCTCCCCACCCTCATAGGGAAGAATTTCCTCCTCCTAACACCCAACCTAAATCTCCCATCTTTTAGTTTAAAACCTTTCCCTTCTGTCCTGTTGCTGTCTCCCTGTGCAAAACTCCTTCCTTTAGACTCTGTGCTAAGTTTCAGTTTCACATTTAACCAAAAACCAAAATTAATAATATGTAATAATGTTATAAAATACAAATATAAATATAATTTTATAAAATATAGCACAAATACATTAATATAAGTATACAATCTATTATATAGTATATTATATAAATATATTATATTATAAAAATATATAAATATAAGCTATGAATATAATTTTATAAAATTATATTTATATTTTATAAAAATAAAATATAGTAGTATTTTATAGATAATAAATTATATTGTTTATAATTTTATTATACATTTATATGTATTATTAATCTCAGCCACTCTGGGGTTGGTGCCACCAGGCTGTGAGCACTCTGTGGTGTGGACAGGCAGTGCCCTGTTGACATTTTGGGGTGTTTTTCCCCTTGCAGGGGTCTACCAGCACGTGTCTGGGGAGCAGGTGGGAGGCCACGCCATCCGAATCCTGGGCTGGGGCGTGGAGAACGACACTCCCTACTGGCTGGTGGCCAATTCCTGGAACACTGACTGGGGGGAGAACGGTGAGAGCCTCAGGGAACCTTCCCTGCCCCATTTCCCCACCCCATTCCCCTCCACCCGCAATTCCCACCCCATTTCCCTACACCATTCCCTTCCACTAGCAATTCCCGCCCCATTTTCCTGCCCCATTCCCCTCCACCAGCAATTCCTGCCCCATTCCCCTCCAGCGGCAATTCCCACCCCATTTTCCTGCCCCATTCCCCTCTACTGGCAATTCCCACCCCAATTTCCCCACCCCATTCCCTTCCAGCGGCAATTCCTGCCCCATTCCCCTCCACCGATTATCCCTGCCCCATTTTCCTGCCCTATTCCCCTCCAGCGGCAATTCCCGCCCCATTTTCCCGCCCCATTCCCTTCCACTGGCAATTCCTACCCCATTTTCCTGCCCCATTCCCCTCCACCAGCAATTCCCACCCCATCTTCCTGCCCCATTCTCCTCTACTGGCAATTCCCACCCCAATTTCCCCACCCCATTCCCTTCCAGCGGCAATTCCTGCCCCATTCCCCTCCACTGGCAATTCCCACCCCATTCCTCTCCACCAGCAATTCCCACCCCATTTTTCCTGCCCCATTCCCCTGGGATGGATGGAGAGGATGATTTTTTTTGTGTGTTCTCCCAGGTTTCTTCAAGATCCTGCGGGGAGAGGACCACTGTGGCATCGAGTCCGAGGTTGTGGCCGGCATCCCCAGGACGGAGCAGTACTGGAAGAGGATGTAACTCTGATCAAAGCACAAATAATCCTGAGTCCCTGATGCTTTTAACTGATAGTGGGTTGGGTGCAGAGACCCCTCCCTTCTAAAAGAGACTCTAGTTCAGGTTACTTTATTAAAGCTTTTTATCTTTTCTTTTTTTTTTTTTTTTTCAAAAATTTTTGTTTGTGTTTTTTTTTTTTTTCTTTTTAAAATTTTTGGGTTTTTGTTTTTAAAATTGTACGTTGGGGCTGGAGGTGGAGCTGCTTTCTGCCAACCTCCTGCTTCTGGTAGCAGAAAGGGGCATGCCCTGCTCAGAGGACTGCTGGAGAACCAAATTCTTCTTGGAATTTGGTTAGCCTGGACCCCTTCCAGCCCAGTTTGCCGCTGGGAGGGCAGGAAGCAGCAGCTTTGTGCTGGGATTAGAGACTTGGTGGGGCAGCAGAGGTGGATGCTGCAGGAAAGCCATGGCCAGGGGGGATTTGTGCACCCCCAGATGGGTTGATCTGACTGTTAGCACCCAAAACAAGCAGGGAGGAATTTCCTGTGAGTGTGTGCCTTGAATTGACTGATTTTAGACCTATTAATGAACAAACTGCTGATGAACTTGCTGTGGGGGTGGCTCTGGCCAGAGCTGCCTGCACCAAGTCCCTCGTGCATCGCCTGCTCTGCTCCATCCTCCTGGCTTCTCAAACCACTTCTTCCTCAGCTCTTCACTGACTTTTTTATCTGCTGTAGTCTGGGGCTATTGATGCTGGGGAAGGGCCTGGCTGGAGCTCCATGAGCCTCTGATCAAATATCCTGCAAGCATCTGGGAGGGAGCTGGGAAAGAGCAAAGCCCTTCTCCTGCCTGGCTGAGCAGCTTGGTGTGTGCAGGTCATGCCTGGGCAAGGGTGCAGTGCCCAAATTTGGGGTGCTTTGGGGCTGCAGGTGCTGGATGCTGAGCTGAGGGATGGTTCCCAGGTCTGCGGCAGGGAGCTCAAGCAGATGCTTGGTGGTGTCTCAGTAAATTGGACACAATTAAAGCATTCTTTTCTTGACATTAGGGAAGGTAAAAACCCTTATTTTTGTTACTGGGGGGAGGTGATAGGTGGTGTACAGGAGGAATCATGTGATTTGCCAACACACTAATATAGCAAAGAGCTTTTTTTTTTTAATTTTAAAGCACAAAATATATTAGTGACCTGAGGCTATGGGTCAGAGATGTGTGAAGCAGGCTCTCCATGCACTGTAAAATAGCCCCTCTTACCTCTGCTTGCTCAGGCATCAGCGAGGCAGAGCTGTGCTGTATTTGGCTGGAACACCTGTGCCAATAAATGATTTCTCCAGTGTCCTGGCTCCTGGCTCCTGGTTGCTTCTGCCACCTCTAATGGTTGGGGTGGAAGCCAAGTGAGGCCCTTCTGTCTTCAGAGAATGGTTTGGGTTGGGAGGGACCTTAAAGATCATCCAGTGCCACCCCCTGCCATGGTCAGGGACACCTTCCACTATCCCAGGTTGTTCCAAGCTCTGTCCAGCCTGGCCTTGGACACTTCCAGGGATCCAGGGGCAGCCACAGCTTCTCTGGGCACCCTGTGCCAGGGCCTCACCACCCTCACAGGGAAGGATTTCCTCCCAATATCCCATCCATCCCTGCCCTCTGGCAGTGTGCAGCCACTCCCTGTGTCCTGTCCCTCCATCCCTTGTCCCCAGTCCCTCTCCAGTTCTCCTGGAGCCCCTTTAGGCTCTGGAAGGGGCTCTGAGCTCTCCCCGGATCCTTCTCTCCTCCAGGTGAGCACCCCCAGCTCTCCCAGCCTGGCTCCAGAGCAGAGGGGCTCCAGCCCTTGGAGCATCTCTGTGGCCTCCTGGACTCTCCCCAGCAGCTCCACAACCTTCTGCTCTTGCCCCTAGGTCTGGAGGCAGCTCTGCAGGTGGGGTCTCACCTGAGAGGGACAGAATCCCCTCCCTTGTGCAGGTGTTGTCACTGCCAGCCCTGTCCTGTGGCCCTGCTGGTGACAGCTGCCCTTGGGATGGGGAAGGTGCCTCCACCCTGAGCAGAGAGCAGCCAGGACCTGTCCCCAGCATCCCTGAGGATGCACAGAGCCCTGGAGCTTGTGCCTGCAGCCCAGGGCTGTGCCACCACTCCTTTCAAGGTGAATTTATGGACCCTCAGCTGCCACTCTGGTTAATATTCTTCCCCCAGGTCTGTCACGCAGGGCTGTACTTTGATACTCAGAGTTGTCACCAAGGGAGCACTGGAGTTTTATGAGCTGAGGGCTTGTAACTTATGGGGAAATTACTGTTGTAAAAGAAATGACAGCTGAAGAGAAAAAAAAAAAAGATGGCGCATCAGTTTTTGTTTTTTTTTCCAAAGAAAACTTTTAATTTCAACAAGACTGGAAGCTGCACAAAGAGAGCTACCACGAGTTTCTTTAGAACAACAGCTTAAATCTACACCAGGAACTGTGGAGTAGGGGCTCTCCTTCTGAGTAACAGCCTGACCAGGGCTCGGCCTTGCAAAGGCCACCACCCTGCACCTGGCAGCTCTGTCCTAGACCAGGATTTCAGCTCTCCTTCCCTTCAGGACAGCAAAGCAGCATTTGAAGGGGGTGGGTAGGGACCTTGCAAACAACAATCCACCCCAGGAGAACAGGACTTGCCTTCAGAGTGCTGTTTCCTCTTGTGAGGCCAGCCTGACGTGTTTGAAGACAGCAGGGGGAGCCTCCTGCAGCTCACACATCAGTCTGACCCAGAGCCAGAGCCAAGTGGGTCAGGGAAACCTGCCCTGGTCACCCCTGGTGGCTCCAGCCTTCCCAGCTCCTGGCAGGGATCACTCCTGGCTTCCAGGGTGAGCAAGGCCACCCTAAAAAAGCATCCCATGAGGGACAGCAGGGTGCAAACCCTCCCTCCCCTGCCCTGCTCTGCCACCCATGCCCTGGGGCTGGGTCAGCACAGAGCCCAGAGCCTGCTGTGGGTCAGGCCTGGGGTTATGAGCTCAGGGCTGTGCTGGCAGCTCCCTTCTCATTTTAACCATTTCCCCACTGCTGAAACAAGATCTGTGTCACTGCAGGGACCATCTGTCCCAGCTGCACAGCTGCCTTTCAGCTGGGGGCACATTCAGGTGGACAGAGTGCCTCACCTCTCATATATTTAACATTAAAAGGGCTCATTTCAGCATCCTTCAGCACAACAGAAATGTGGCTACAATCTGCCTGCTTCCAGCCTGCAGGATGTCAATCACTGAGGGCCAGAAAGTGGCCAGAGCTTTTTCCTTGGATAAGGAAGCACATTGCTCTCCCAGCTGAAGCAGCATCTTTCCAGCATGGAGCAGGCACCAGAGGTGAGGGAGAAGAGGCTGCTTAAGAAAGGGAGGCAAAACCTTCAGGGTTTTGCTCAGCTCTGAGCTGGAAAGATGCCTCAAATCTCAAGGAAGAAAAGAAACAACTGGAGTTTCTATTTCAAATCATCCTAATGGAAAGAAAAACAAAACAAACAAAAATAAAATCACCAGAAATATTCAGTTAAACAGGAAAGAATGGGGGAAAAAAAACCACTCAACTCCAAACACTGAGACTCCAGTCAGCATTTGCAGCCAGCAAGGGCAGTGAGGATGGAGTCCAGCAGTGCAACACTGTCACCTCAGGGGCTGCAGCTCCCCAGTGTCCCATCCTTGTCACCATCCCAGTGCTGGGCCACCCCCACAACCGAGTGACCTCCTGCCACCCATCTGCCACCATCATCCCCCCACCCTGCGGTGCCCTTCAGTTGTCCCCTGCCTGCACGTACTCCTCGGTGGCCTTGGAGAGGGTGCTGAGGTACTGCCAGCTCAGGGCAGCCAGCAGCATGGCACAGGACAGGTAGATGGGCGAGTAGTGGTGGCGGGAGGCCATGGGGCCGGCGGGCAGGCTGGCGGCGCGGATGGCGGCGATCGCCTGCTGCGTCCTGCGGCACGAGGGGTCCGTGCTCGGCATCTTCTGGTAGATCTGCAGCAGGAGGAGGGAGGGAGGAGGAGTTAGGGCTCCTATTTATGTAAATAAATACCCTGTGTAGGGCTCTGTCATGGTTTGATGCTGGCGCAACGCCAGTGCCCCCATGAGAATACCCTCACCCTGGTGTCTGCTGTGAGATGCGACCAGGAATAAGCAAAGCAGGCCCCCACTTAGAAATAAACAAAACTTTATTTACTAAACTACAACTATGTGTAAAAAGAAACACACAGGAAAAATGAAAACCTTCCAAAAACATTTCCTCCCCCCCTGTCATGGGGTGCTTGACGCTGGCGCAATGCCAGTGCCCTCCATGAAAATATACATTCTCCCTGGTGTCTGCTGTGAGATGTGACCAGGAATAAGCAAAGCAGGCCCCTCACTTAGAAATAAAGAAGAGAAAACTTCATTAACTAAACTACAACTAAATGTAAAAAGAAACACACAGGAAAAATGAAAACCTTCCAAAAACATTTCCTCCTCCCCTGTCATGGTTCGATGCTGGCACCAATGCCAGTGCCCCCATGAAAATACATTCTCCCTGCTGCCTGCTGTGAGATGTGACCAGGAATAGGGCAAAGCAGGCCCCACTTAGAAATAAAGAAAACTTCATTAACTAAACTGCAACTATATGTAGAAAGAAACACACTGAAAAAATTAAAACCTTCCAAAAACATTTCCTCCTCCCCTGTCATGGTTTGACGCTGGCGCAATGCCAGTGCCCCCCATGAAAATATACATTCTCCCTGGTGTCTGCTGTGAGATGTGACCAGGAATAAGCACAGCAGGCCCCTCACTTAGAAATAAAGAAGAGAAAACTTTATTAACTAAACTACAACTATATGTAAAAAGAAACACACTGAAAAAATTAAAACCTTCCAAAAACATTTCCTCCTCCCCCCACCAAATTTCCAATACATCCATCCCTCAGATCACCCACTCTTGGTTCATCACCACCCTTTAGATAATCAATTCTCAGTTCATCAAGGAGTGAGGAGTCCTCCTTGTGCCATAGGCTTCCCCTGGAAACACCGTTGAGACCTCCTGTGTTTCCTGTCACATGTGGCACTGCCCAGAGATCATTGCATTCCTGACATCTTCTTTCCATGCCCACTGCTCTCACCACTGCACATGGACCACAGCTGCTTCTAGGGTTCTCCTTTTAAGGGTGCTTTGTCCAGTTCCAAAAAAGAGCACAGTCTCTCACTTTTGGGACACCTGTCCCCCCCAGATTTCCCCCCCTGGGGCCAAAGGGTCTCAAAAAAGAGATCTCCACTGAAGATCGAGGGCACCAACCACGAACCTCCTCATCCATTGTCTCTGCTCATCTCTCCCATAACATCACTGCACTCTCTCAGCTCCAAGCCACTGCCTCCCCCCTGGATGCAGTCTCTGTGTCACAGGAAACATCGTTCTGTCCATGGCTATACAAGAAAAGTCCAGCCAAAGGCCACTCCATCACCTCCTCCCACCTAAGATTCTTCTCCACTCTTCCGACATCTTTCACCTGCACGAACTTTCATCACACTTGTCCATTTCCTCCTCCATTTCATCTCTATCTCTCTTCTCATTCAGATCCAGAAGGATCAGTATGTATAAGGTTTCCATTATTCAAGAAAAGGGTTAAAATCTCAGGCTCTGCCTGCCCAGAACTCCCACGGCTTCTCACCGTGCCCCCACTGCACTCCCTCCTTCTTCTCGGCCAGGCCTGTGCTGCCAGCACATGATATCAAATTTCAAGGTGGCACAAGGAGTTTAAGGGAGGAAAATGGGAGGAGGTTGAAGTTTTGAGGGCCAAGAGTGATGGTGGTGGTGGAGCGACGTGAAGCAAGGGACAGCTGGAACAGACATTTTTTATGAAAAATCCTTTCCTTAGGATTTTTCTTCCTGAGAAGCTGAGAGGCCTCCGGAACAAAATGTAAACATTGATTACCTGCTGCTGTGGAATGCAACAGGTGGGTCTGTGATTGCTCTCATGTGGTTGTTTCTAATTAATGGCCAATCACAGTCCAGCTGGCTCAGACTCTCTGTCCGAGCCACAAGCCTTTGTTATCATACCTTCTTTTTCTATTCTTAGCCAGCCTTCTGATGAAACCCTTTCTTCTATTCCTTTAGTGTAGTTTTAATATAATATATATCATAAAATAATAAATCAGCCTTCTGAAACATGGAGTGAGCTCCACATCTCTTCCCCCTGAACACGGTCACAGAGGCCCATCCCTTTCCCACATCCCTCGGAAAGTGCACTAAGCCAAGCTGCCTCTTGAGGGCTCCCCATGATGGGACATGGACCACATGGCTTTGGACACGAACCCTCGAGCCCCAGTGATGTTACAGGGACCAGTGGTGTTACTGGGATCAGGGGTTTTCACTCTGCAATCCTCACTCGCTGTACAGCCCACCCGAAACCAGCGGGAACATTCCTGCCTGGAAACAGCCACATCATCACCTGATTCTGGGGCATTTGGGGTTTTCTTCTCATGGCCTTCTGAGATACTCCTCTGCAGGAGTCTGAGCAAGGTGGGCTCAAGCAGAGACCCTCTCCTGGGTTAAAGCCCTGCAGTGTCACTGTCCCTTGCCATGGGATCAGCCAGTACACAAGGGCAGCTCTAATAACCCATGGTTTGGGGTCTCTCTGCTGCAGACTATTATTTTATTTAATAGCCTTCACTGGAATTGGGTTTTGGGGAGGGGAGGTGTTTTTTTCCCACAAAAACCCCCCACAAGTTGACTTTCCACGTGAACTTTTAATCTCCACAGGACCCTGTGGAGTCAGGAGGAAGTCATAAGGTCCCCCTTGAGCCTCCTTTTCTCCAGGCTGTGCCCCTCCCCAGCTCCCCCAGCCACTCCTGGTGCTCCAGCCCCTTCCCCAGCTCCATTCCCTTCTCTGGACAGGCTCCAGCCCCTCAATGTCCTTTGTGTTGTGAGTGGCCCAGAACTGACCCCAGAATTGGCTCAAGGGGATGGGCACTGCCCTGGCCCTGCTGCTGGACACACTAGTGCTGGTCCAGGCCAGGATGCCCCTGGCCCCAGTCCCTACTCCCCAACACACACTCAGACCCAGGCAACATTCAAGGGAACACATCAAGCACAGTTTGGTTCAGACCAAAACCACATCAGGGTCATCACTCCCCACTGCCACTGAGCCAAGGATAGAATGAACAGATCCCCATGTACTCCCAGCTCCACCCCAAAAACACGGACAGGAACAGCCAGAAATGGCTGAAAACAAACTGCTGAGCCTACCTCTTCCACATACTGGTACATGATGGCTTTGACAGCTTGGATGTTGGTGGCATCCATCATGAGGGTGACGGCCTGGCCCTTGCGGATCTTCACCACCCCCCTGAACACCTGCTGGTTGTTGTAGCAGGCAGCCAGCGTGGCAATGGCCATCACCTGGGGAGAGACAGCAACTTGCACCGCAAGGAACTTGCCAGAAAGCCACCCTGTCCACAGTGACATCCATGAAGTGGAGCCACAACCTCAACAACAGCAGAAACGGCAGGAGCCACGAAATAAGCAAAAAAACCAACAACACAGAACCTCCTCCACCTCCAGCTCCTCACCAGCTCGGCTGCAGAGGGTGAGGAACCACTTGGAAGCTCAGCTCACCTGGGGGATAGCGCAGAAGTTGAAGACACTTTGGTTTTTGAGGCGGGACAGGTAGGTGAGGACGTCGGGGACGTGGTGGAGGGCGTTGGTGATGAGCTCATTGAGGCACTGCACGGCCACGTCGATGTTCTCTGGCTTGGCAAGGTCTGAGAGCTTCTTGGCATATCTGCTCCAAACCTAAACACCAAGATAAGTGTTCCTGAGCTGGAGGGGTGCATTGATGTCATCAGAGAGACAGCAGGTCTGGGAGAGCAACAAGAAGCACCAAAAAACCCCCGCACAACAGCCTTGGGATAAAGAAAAGCAGGAGGGGCAGGCGTGGGGATGTGACAGTGGCCTTGGTGCACACAAAGAGATGGTAAAGAAGTAGGATGAAACTCATCTCCACATCTTTCCTAGGGAGGGCAAGGAAAAGGTGAGTCACACATCAAGAAATGCCCCGTGAGACAGCTGAGCCACATAGGAAAGGGGGAGAAAAATTTTTGGACATCATGTCAGGCACAGGCAGAGCTGACCCTGCTTTTTAGGAGCTTTTTGGATACCCTCCTGGGATCCCAGCCAGTTTTATTCTCCCTCATTCCTACAGAAAACCTAGCAGAGAGGAGAAAGAGCTGCCTAAGTAGCTCTTGGCAGTGTGTGGTGGCATCACCTTGTCCCCACATCTGCAACCAGAGAGCTGCAGACAGATGTCATCAGAACTGTCATTACCAAGAAGATGTACAGCCAACAGCAGCAATTTTATGAGGTTTTTCCTCACCTCTCTGGGCCAGAACTCCCTTCCCTCCATCTGGTCCTCCAAGTAGTCACGGATGATGTTGGTTTTCTGCAGGAAGAGGCCCATGGAGTTTGCCAGCTCTGTGTCCTGCCCCACGATGGAATCTTCCAGCTCTGATGCAGAGAAGAGACGGGAGAGGCCAATCCCCACCAGCCCAGCAACGTAGTGACAATACTGCCAAGGAGGTGCCAAGTTGGGAAAGGAGAGGGAAAAAAAACAAGATAAAAGGAGCAGTTACAAAGAGCTGCCTGTTTGCCACAGTGAGTTTTACAAAAAGCAATTGAGAGTTCATTTGATGCAAGGTCTCCCAGGGATGTCTCAGCTTTCCCATGAAAACAAACATTTTTTCCCAATAGGGATGGTCTGTCTACTCCTTTCACAGATACAAAGAGGCCCTACCTGGAAATTTTAAAAAAAAACTGTGGATGTGGCACTTGGGGACACAGTTCTGTGGTGGCCTTGGCAGTGCTGGTGGAATGGTTGGGCTTGGTGATCTCCGAGGGCTTTTCCAACCTTAACTCCATGACCCTGCTCAAGCTCAGTCCATTCCTCTGTCTGGGCTGACTCACCTTGTCCCACTCATGCTCAGAATCCACCTTTTTCTCCAAGAACTCTGCCATCCCAACACCCATCTTTTGACAAATATCTGAAATCACATCCTGGTAGACCTTGGACAGTTTTCTGAACTCCATGGAGATCTGTAGCGTGGTAAAAACAGAAAGAGAGTGTTCAGGAAGCAAAAAAAAAAACCAGCACAGATCAACATTTATTAACAAATCAGAAAAATACTGTTAAACAAATCAGAAAAATACTGTTTACCAGGCTCTAATCCTGCCCTGGCTGGAGATCTGGGACAACTCCCTCAACCTGAGCTGTTTCAAGGTCCTTGGAGCCCAGGCTTAGCCTGTTCCCAGTCTAAACAGGACGGTCTCTGGCAGGAGATCAGACACAGCAGAATCTTTGGGAAGGCTCTGTGGCCTTGGACTGGTATCATCTGGGAGCTGCAGGACAAAACTGGCTGCACTTGGTACACAGAGCTGTTTGCCTCTGTAATTTGAGAGCATTCCATGGGAAAACACCCGTGGGAGGTTTCTGGTGCTCTGCTCTCCCCAGCCCTCTCCAGCTCTAGCTTCACACATTTGGCACAACTGGAAAGGCATCAAGCAGTGAGGGAAGAGTGAAATCCTTCTACTGCATGTCCAGTAACGTGATCATGGAATAACAGAGTGGATTGAGTTGGAAATGACCTTGAAAATCTAGTTCCAACCCCCCTGCTTTGGGCAGGGACACCTGCAGTGTCTCCATCACTCTCACACTGAAAAAAAAAATATTAAAAAGTGCATCCTTCTTTTCCCAAAACTGTGGAGCATCATGTTTCACTGTGCTAAGCTTTATTCTCCATCAGTGGGGGACTGCAGCCAGCCCAGGGGTTTTGTGCAATAAGGGTTTGTCTGTAAAATAAATGTATTCACTCTGCTTCTGCCTCTGTGGCTTCAGTCCCTTCAAAGAGCAGCACAGTCTGCAAATGCACCTCTAGGAAATATTATTAGAAGTTTTTCACTGCAAGGGTGGTGAGGCACTGGTAGAGCATGCCCAGAGAGGCTGTGAATGCCCCCCAAAAAATTCAGGGATAGGGCCTGAAGTAACCTGGTCTAGTGGAAGGTGTCCCTGCCTTGGCATGGGATGGAATGGGATGAGCTTTATGGTCCCACCCAACCCAACAATTCCATGGTTCTACAATTTTATGATTACTAAAATTATTAAAATAATACCTGAGCATGGGTGTATTTATTTATTTATATTTCTTTTATTTCTATTTATTTATTTATTTTAATATTTATTAAAATATTAAAAATTATTTTAAATATTAAAACAATAGCGATCAAAACATTACATAAAATTATATTTATTAGAATATTTATTAAAACATTCCTTTAAAATATTAAAAATTTATTAAAATCATACCTGAACATAGATTGCCTCAAATAAATAACATATACACCAAGAGAGAACAGCAAAGCGCCACAAACACCTTCTCAAAAGCTCCTCTAAAGCCAAGCCACTGACATATCTACTGTATCTCTACCCACATTCCCTACAGCACTCCAGCCCCTGGCAGGCTACAGCCACAGTCACCTCAAACCTGAGCATCAAAACTCCCAACACACCTCAGTTCTCCAAACAACCACCCCATTCCCACTGCTAGGGAAAGCCTGAAAAGGGCAGAATAAATTAAAAATGGTAAAAACCTGAACAAAACAGAACATCCTCTGAAAATGAGATGTTCCTCACCAGAACTATTACATTTTTTCTTAAACAGAGGGAAGGAAAAAACCCTAAAAATCAGCTCAATAATAAAAAAATCAACACAATATTGTTACTAATTACAATGAGGGTGCTTTTTGTCTTGTATCACAGAGTTATGGAATAGTTTGGATAGGAAGGGTCCTTAAAGCTCATCTCATTCCACCCTCAGCCATGGGCAGGGACACCTCCCACTGTGCACACAGGTGTTACATTTACATTTTTTGAAAAATCTCTTTGTCTAAAATTTTTCTCTTGAGAAGCTGAGAAGCCTCAGGGAAGAAAAAAAACCCAATAATTATCTTATTTACATTTCTTTTGCTTATATGAAATGTGTTTAAAGATTGTTTATTTACAAGTAATTGTTTTATTGGTTTCTGGTGTGAGTTGCTTTGACTCATTGGCCAATCAGTGCTAAGTTGTGTCGAGACTCTGAAAAGAGTCACGAGTTTTCACTATTATCTTTTTAGCATTCTATAAATATCCTTTCTGTATTCTATAGTATAATATAATATAATGTAATGTAATGTAATATAATATAATCATAAATTAACCCTCTAAAAACATCAAGCCAAATTCATCATTCCTTCCTTCACCAGAACACGCCACAAATACAATTCACTGTGCTGGGTAACAACCCCAAATTTCTCTCCGTAAGTCAATGGTCATCTGCTCTTCCAGCAGAGGAGGCAAAAAGCCACTTTCCAAGGGCTGGAACTTTTCCACAGCCAGATCCCCTCTGCCCCACATCATTGCACAATGTTTGAATTTCTCACCCCAGCTTGGCACCCAGCCCCACAGGCAGGTGATGAAGCCCTTGGGAAGACCTGTGGCACTGAACAAGCTCTGCAGGCACCACGTGGAGACAACCCGGCACCCAGAGATGCCACCAGGGGCAAGGAGGAGGCTGCCTTACCGTTGGGAAGTCTTCCAGCACCTGCCTGTCCTTCTCCTTGCTCTCTGTGTACTTCCAGTCTGGCTGGTAGAGATGGGAGTGGAACTCGTGCAGCATCGGGACCTTGACATCCAAGGGGATGCTCATGTCATCCTCTACAGTGTCCAGGGCACGGAGAACCAGGTAGAATATACACACTGCATGGCTGGAAAAGGAGAAAAAACAGTAAACTTTCACTTGGGAGTGCCCAGGAGGCAGGACAACCAGCTGGGATTAACCACAGAGCCTTCAGCAGAGGCACTTTGAGCTCAGCATGTCACAGAGTGACACTGCCACGTGCCTTTGGAAGATACCAGGCAGGAAAATCCAGGATTTTCCCTCATGAGGAGAACTACAGCATATTTTTGGGGTTTCTAAGATGTGTATCAGGGAACTACAGCATGATTCTGGGGTTTCTAAGATGTGTTTCTCAGATGTGCACTTCTAGTGTGGCTGGTAGAGATGGAACTCGGGCAGCATTGGGACCTTGACATCCAAGGGGATGCTCCTGTCATCCTCAGGAATCCATAGGAAATCCAGGATTTTCCCTCATGAGGAGAGCTACAGCATGATTTTGGGGTTTCTAAGATGTGTATCAGGGAACTACAGCATGGTTTTGAGGGTTTCTAAGATGTGTTTTTAGATGTGTACTTCCAGTCTGGCTGATAGAGATGGGAGTGGAACTCGTGCAGCATCAGGACCTTGACATCCAAGGGGATGCTCATGTCATCCATAGGAAATCCAGGATTTTCCCTCATGAGGAGAGCTACAGCATGATTTTGGGGTTTCTAAGATGTGGATCAGGGAAGGGTCAGGCCTGTGAGCTCCCTGAGCAGGGAAGATCCAACGCTGCAAGCAAGGCCAGTGTTCACCTGGACCCAGAGGACAGAGCCCAAGGTCAGCTTATTTGGAAAAGCAAATGTCAAATAGGGAAGGGGGAAAAAAATCAGTTGTTTTCCCCATCATTCCCTCTTCTCTGCACACTTTTTACCCTGTTGGGGTAAAATATTCCTGTCCTTTCTTAGGGGTAAATAAAGGGGTGACACTGTGCAACAGGAATATTAGGACTGGCAGAAAGAGCCAAAATCACCTGTACTTTATATCTCCAGAAGCAGGACACTGGAGGCAGCCCATGTGTCCCAATATCCCAGGAGGAAGCTGCTGAGAGCCACCTCCCCTCCTGCTCCCACCACCCCTGCCTTCCCTGTCCCTGCTTCCTTCCCCATCCCTGCCTCCACATTTCTACAGCTGAAGAAAAAAAACCAACCAAACAAAACCAAGTCCTGATGGCAAGAAATGCTGTTTGCAACACGATTTATATTAAATAATCCCCAGATCTCCATAAGCACAGGGATATATGCCAAGGAGAGGAGGCATTTATTAATTGTTTAACAAATGGAAAGTAGCTTGATCTGCTTAAATGCTAATTACCAGGTGACAGTGTTGTACTCCTGTACAAGCAGTGATTAATCATCCAGGGAAAACTGACTTGCTCTTAGAGCCAATACTGTCAAATTTGGCTTTTTTTCCTTGATTAGAAGGGTATTTAACACCTCTGTCACACCACATGAGCAGTTCTCGTGCTCCTGTTCCTCTGCATGACTGAGTTTTTCCATTCCAGCCATGCTGTAAATGTTCATCCAACAGGATGCAAGTGCCCAAGGCTCCAATCTGCTTCCAGGAGCCACCAAGAAAGGCAGAGCAGAACCTGAAAATGCCATCCCAGAGGCACCTCTCACATGGGCATCATGCCCAGGGAAGAGCCAACAGTAATTCCAGAACCCAGCACAGTTAAAACACTTATTTAACCCCAATTCTGCATCCAGACCTTGTCTGCCTCCCTAACTTCCATCACATACTGAATTTAGACCCATGGCACAAATGGAAGCAAAGAACAAGTCTGGATCTTCCAGAGCTCAAGCTCAGCCCTGTCAGCTGTAGCTCCCTCCTGCCCAGGTGAGGAGCTCTCCTCTCTCCTTGCCAGCACATACAGCCTGTGCTGAACCCTCAGGAATAGATCCTGAAGAGTTCCAGAGACAGGCAGGAGCATGGAACTGGCAGCAGAGAGGCAGGAGCATCCCTCTTCCCCTCTTCATCACCAGGAGACGAGCTATGAGCTTGGATCAGAACTCCTTCCCACCACCAGCAGTTATGATGCTGTTGGCTCAGCTGTGGATGAAATTGCAGTTTTGAGCCTCCCACCTTCCCAGAAACGCCCTAACCATGGAGCAGTGAGCTGGACAGGGCTCTGGCCAGCAATACAGGTGGTTCATGGGGCCAAAAAAAGCCAGGAAGGAGGAACCAGACATTTCAGCTCAGCTACCAATACCCTGTCTGGCCAGGGAAGGGTGCCCTGCCTCCCTAGCTTCCATCATATACTGAATTTAGACCCATGGCACAAATGGAAGCAGACACTTGGAAAGAACAAGTCTGGATCTTCCAGAGCTCAAGCTCAGCCCTGTCCTGGGTGCAGCTCCCTTCTGCCCAGGTGAGGAGGTCTCCTCTCTCCCTGTCAGAGAGGCAGGAGCATCCCTCTTCTCCTCTCCATCACCAGGAGAGGAGCTATGAGCTTGGATCAGAATCTTTTCCTCCACCAGCAGCTATGATGCTGTTGGCTCAGCTGTGGATGAAATTGCAGTTTTGAGCCTCCCACCTTCCCAGAAACACCCTAACCATGGAGCAGTGAGCTGGACAAGGCTCTGGCCAGCAAAACAGGTAGTTCATGGGGCCAAAAAAAGCCAGGAAAGAGGAACCAGACATTTCAACTCAGCTATCAATATCCTGTCTGGCCAGGGAAGCACTGCCCCAAGCACTCCTCCAGAAGTTCCCCATTCTCCAGCAGCCCTTCTGGGATGCCTGTCTGTAACCACAGGGGCCCAGGTGAATTCCCTGATGGGGTCAACAACAATTCAAGCACTTTTTTAATCCAGCAAAATTATTTCCTTCTGTAAGGCTGTGGCTCTACCTATTTCTCTATCCTCCCTATTTTGTATTTCCCTTGTTTGTCCCTAAATCTTCTGGTGGAAATCCTTTGAAAATGAACCTCTCCTGATCCACTACTGAGCCAGCTGTAATCCAACCACCATCCCTGCCCAAGCTGGGTTGCAAAGATCAGGCAAGAGCATTTTTAGGATGCCAAGCAGAAATTCTGTGCCCTGAAGGGTGATTCTCCTGCAGGGCTGCCAGGCAAGGATTAAATGACAATAAACACCAAGAAAACTGCAGGAAATTTGAGGCAAGCATAGGGCAGACACATTGCTAACAGGTTTCATAGTGTTTTCTTAATTTTTTTTCTTAATTCCTGCACAGAAAAAACATGGAAAATAAAAAACTTAATTCTTGGCCCTACTTGTACTTTTCCATGTAATTTCAGCCAAACCACTGAACTTCTCTGCCTTTCCTGTCAACCAGGCTGCAAACACCATTTCATAAACACTGGACACAGTTATGGGGCACCATCCAAAATGCCAAACCAGGGCTCAGAAACCCCACAGATCACACAGTGTTTGGGGTAGTGCCTGCAACAGCTCAGATCAGAGCCATCAGATGTGTCTGGAACAACTTCCAGAACCCCTAAATTTGATCATCAACCCATCTTGGGATTAACTGGGGATTTAAAAACTGAAATCAGTAATTGTTACATGAATATAGGGAATTATATATATGGAAAATAATTACATGGCATGAGGCTCCCTGGCCAGCTGAGCTTTATTTACATCCTCTGTTACTATTCCTGTCTGAAGCTTTTCTGCACAAGGCAGCAAAATCTGCACAGCAAAAAATGGGTGTGCAACAAACCTGCTGTGATAAATGCACAGGTTTTGAGGCAGCTGCTTCCAAAAGCACCTCCCAGGCAAAACCCAGACCCTTGGTCAGCCCCAGGTTTTTCCTCACCTCCTCCCTCCAGCCTTTGTCCAGCTCAGCAGTGCCAGGACACATTCCCAGGGTGTCACACGGGGCACAGTGCCAGGCCCTGTGTTTAACAGCCTGCTGGCCACAGGCTGAGCCCAGAGACACAGTTTGGGGAGGGATGTGATGCAGAGGGGGGATGTGGCACAGCCAGCTGGGACGTGAAAATCCCCACGTCCTGCTGCACGGGGTGGGGCTGAGCTGAGTGAGCCCAGTCAGCTCCTGATGGGAGAGGGAGCGTGTCCCAGCAGCTCCACTAGAGAAATATGGAGTTTGGGGGTAGGTACTGTATGGGCTCAGCTCTGGTATTATGGAGGACATCACACCCACCAGCTCCTGGGGAGGCCTGAAACTGGGGGGCCACTAAGTTCCCTGGGATGCCCAGTGTTGGGGTGGCACTGTACCACTCAGGGAGGAGATTTATCCTCACCATCACCTCCATCACCACCTCCCAGGGAGGAGATTTATCCCACCATCACCAACGGGTTCGGGGGAAAGCTGCACCCACCCCCTCCCGAAGATCCCCAGCATTGGGATGTCACCCCACCCACCACCCCCCAAAATCCCCGCCCTGCCGGCGGTCACCGCACCCCTCCCCGGTGTCCCCCGCTCACCGCAGCTCTCCATCCAGAGCCTGGATGACGGCGGCGAAGCTGCGGCTGGTCTGGTTGAGGTATCGGTAGCAGGTTCGGAGGCCACATCCCAGCGAGTCCTGAGGGCAGAGCGGGCCGGGGGCCGCGGGTTGGAACCGGGGGACGGCGGCGGGCGGTGGGGCCGGGGGGGCTCCGCACCGCTGCTGCTGCTGCTGTCCCCGCCGCTGTCCCGCTGCCCGCGGGGGTTTCCGCGGCGGGGACAGCGTCAGTGTCCGCCGGAGCACGGACACGGCCCGGGAGCCGGCCGCCATGGGGGCGGCAGCATTGGGGGGCTGCGGCCGCTCCGCTCCGCCCCAGGCCCGAAACCCGCCCCTTAACCCGCCCCGTGCCGCGGCCGGACACGCTGCCATGTACGGAGAGCGCCGGGGCCGTGCGGTGTCCGGAGCAAACCGGGGATGCGCGCAGGGTACAGGCACCGAGCGGTGCAAGGGATGCTCGGAGCTGGGGGGATGAATGCGGGTATGGGCAATGAGAAATGCATGGGAAACGTGAGATGCTCGGAGTCAGTGGGATGCTGGCAGGATACCGGCACTGAGCGATGCAAGGGATGCCTGGAGCTGCGGGATGCTCCGGTAGCACCGGGGCTCTGCGATGTCCGGCACCGAGCAATGCAAGGGATGCTCGGAGCTGGTGGGAAGCTCGCAGGGTACCGGCACCGGGCAAAGCAGGGATGCTTGGTGCCGGTGGGATGCACCAATGCACAGGATGCCCGGAACCGGTGGAATGCCCGAAACCGGTAAGATGCACACACAGTAGGGGCAATGCAATAGGATGCCCGGAGCTGGTACAACCGGGAAGCACCGAGGCGCACACAAGGCGCACAAAGCCAGGCAAAGTCCTATACAAGCTGGATGTGGGATGGTCACCCATGGCAACACCGTATCCGCGCCCGGACATGACAGTGCCTCCCACCTCCTCCTCCTCCTCCCGTGCCCAGCTCCCCACCGGGAGCACCGCGCACCGGCGACAGCGAAGCGCTTCCCGCCGCCCGCTCACCGTGTCCATCCGCGGCATGACGGCGCGGTAGCCGCCCATCTTGAAGCGGAGCAGGTTGTAGATGTCCTCGGGGTGGCCCAGCCATTTCCGTAGCAGCTCCATGGGGGCCGCACTCAGACCCCGCCGCCGCCGACGCCGCGCGCTCCCGCCGCCCCCCCCGCCCGCCGCTTAACCGGGCACGGGCGGGGCCGCTCCAGCCCCGCCCCGCAGCCAATCACAGCGCTCGGCACATCGCTCGGTGGGGCGGGCGCGGCGCCGATTGGCGAAGGCGCGCTCGCACCAGGGCAGCGCCAGCCAATAGGGAAACGTCGCGACTGGTGTGACGGCCGGCGGCGGGCGCTGATTGGCTGAGGCGCGCGTCGGCACAGGCGGAGCGGGAAGGAATCGGCGGCCCCGAACCCCCTCGTGTGAGCGTGAGGGGAGCGGAGCCGCCATGGAGGCGTGGGAGGGTTGGCGTGGGAAGGGGGCGTGAAAAACCTTCCAGTTCCAACCTCCTGCCATGGCAGGGACACCTTCCACTATCCCAGGTTGCTCCAAGCCCCGTCCAGCCTGGCCTTGGACACTTTCAGGGGTGGAGAAGCCACAGCTTCTCCAGGAGTTCCATCCCAGCTCCCACCTCCTCCTCACAGGGAGGAATTCCTTCCCCGTATCCCATCTAACCCCGTGCTCTGGCAGTAGGAAGCCATTCCCCCTTGTCCAAAGTCCTTTTCCAGCCCTCCTGAGCCCCTTTAGGCACTGAAAAGGGCTCTGAGATCTCCCTGGAGCCTTCTCCAAGCTGGACACCCCCAGCTCTGAGCCTGCCTCCATCACAGAGGGGCTCCAGCCGTTAGAGCACCTCCATGGCCTCCTCTGGACTCGCTTCCACAGTCCATACCCTTCCTGGGTATGTGCTGAGAACCCAACACATACCCAGCTCCATCCTCATATCCTTCAAAGTGCAAGATTCAGCTTTTGGGGTTCTTTTTTGTGAGTGGTTTTCTTCCAGAACTTGGGCTTTGATCATCATTGTGGGTCCCTTCCAATTCAGGTTATTCTATGATTCTTTGTTTTGGACAGGCACTTGGCCAACACTCTGCAGAAGGGACATTAAACACTTTCCTTGGTTCCATAACCCCATTAATTCGTTTATTCAGCAATCCCATAACCTGCAACCATTCTCTAAGGTGTTGCAGTTCCCAAGGGAGAAGCTGTGCAAGCCTTGCCTAGGAAGCAGCTGCCTACAGCAGAGGTGTTTACCTCCAGCATTCCCAGCTGATTTGCAATCTATCTTTAAATCCAGTTCCCATTAATGAGACCACTTACACAGCTAAGGAAAATCACTGGTACCATCCTCAACAGGCTGCTGTTAACCAATTTCAGGCAGCTGGAATTTCCATGTACACCCCAGTTTCTAACCAAGAAACTGCCAGAAAGGACACACTTGAGATGAACATCATTGATTCTAATTCCAGCTTTTATTGTTTTGTTCAAGTCAACAACTTATTATTAAAATAAATCCAGGGAGAGAGGATAGCAGCAGTTCCCACCTAGTGCAGAAACACAGCTCTATTTCCAAACCTTTCTGCTTTCAGGTTTCCTTGGAGAGCCTGAGATTTATGCAACACTGCCACACGCTGTAATTTTTTTAAATTTTTACAGCAAGATCTGGAATTGGCAGTTTGCCACAAAGCTGAATCCTGTGGGCGCTTTGAGATGAGCTCCACCAAGCACTGCTGACATATATTTTGTACAAGCTGATGTGGAAGGAGGAGGGAGCTGTTCCTGCCAGATTACATGGGAGCAGCCCCTCATGTTTAACCACACCCATTCACAGCCCAGCACACAGGTATTCAGCTCCAAACAGAGGCAGGATTATTTAATTCCTAATTAATCAAGCTGCTTAGGCAGAGGGATATCCTCTGTTTTGCTGACTCCTCCGGGGTCAAGGGACAGGGTCACTTCAGACCACAGCAATCCCCTGCTCAACCCTTTACACTTCCCATCCACTGCCACCTGAACAGGGTGACCAATGCACCTCAGACCTGGTCAAACTCTTTACACTGTGACAAAAACCCCCATGAACAGCCACTTTTTCCTTTATGCAGCCACTCAGGGAACCTGAGACCTCCACTGAGCACTTAAATCTGCCAACTCCTTAAGGGCAAACTCAACAGCCTAAAAGAAACCATAGAGATCTTCTAGCACAACGAGGAACATGGATCAGAGACCACCCAGCACCCTGCAGGACAGATCACCCAGTGACTGGGGAAGGGTCCCCATCCCCTGGCAGCAGCTCAGGCTGGCACTGAGGGCACCACCACGTCAGTCTCTTGAAGCCACCCGAGGGTCCAAAAGTGCCCTTCATCAGGGGATGTCCCAGGGGACACTGCTCCTTCTGGTACACCTGGGGGTGCAGCCCTTGGCCTCGCAGTTTGTTGTGCAGCCACTCAGAGCTGAACTGAAGGGCGCAGTCCAGGAGATGCTCCAGATCTGAGAGAGCCAAGAGGGAGCCTGGTGTTAGTGGGTGGATCCTGGCCAGGTACAGGATCTCGTTCTTGATGATGTTTCCTGGGAGGGGTCAGAAACAAGGAGACAGTAAGGATATTTCTAATCAAGGTAATGCAGGCTGCTGGCTCTAACTTGGGATTTCTGCCTCAAGGAGCACAGCCAGCAACACCACTCCCTGTACCAGCAGTGGCATCCAAAGAGTAGACTTAGAGCTGAGATTCAACTGGAAGAGGTTCTCTTCCCTCTACTGTTGTTACAGACCTTGAAGATGATAACATGCCCTCAGCTGGATCAACCAGAAACTCTTAGCTAAAGAGAAAACCACCTAGACATGCACTTCTGCATCTGTGGACATCCCACCCACCTTCCTCCATTTCTCCTTCTGCCCCTATTCCCTGGAACTCACCCAGCCCTGAAAAATATCTTTGGTCTAGGAGGGTGTAGCAGACAGGATCGGGTGCACGGAGGGCACGCAGCGCCCGGCCTCGGTGGAATTCCACAGACAAGATGTCAGAAGCAGGATCAGCCCTGGGAGAGGAGCACCAGAGCATCCGGCAGTTGTAGAAAACAAGGAAGCCTCCGCTCTCAAAGTGCAGAACCAGCCTGGGAGAAGCAGAGAAGTTGGATTTTCTCATCAGAAACATCTCTGAACTACTTGTTATACTCTGCAGCTGGCCACTGTCTCAAGGCAAGGCAGCATCTTTAACAACTGCAGCCATGAAGCTTGGTGGTGAACCCACACAGCTGGCGGAAAGTTTTTCCTGCTGCTGCCCTGTGACCCTGGTTGGCAAAGCCTTCAGCAGGACAGTACACAAATCAGAGAAATGGATGTTTAAATGATCACAAAAAACGGTGTCTAAAAATACTTGCATAGAAATAAAGTCATCCTTCAAAAAAATTAACAGAATCATAGAATGTTTTGGGTTGGAAGAGAACTCAAAGATCATCTTGGGCCACCCTCTGCCATGGGCAGGGACACCTTCCCCCACCCCAGGTTGCTCCAAGCCTGCCCTTGGAAACTTCCAGAGCAGCCACAGCTTCTCTGGGAAGCTGTTCCCCCTTGCTCTGTACAATTCCAGTGGGATACAGGACACAAACCACACCCATGGTTTCAATTCACTGCTGTCCCTTACAGCATCACTCCAGCCTGTGACTCCAGGTGTATGAGATGTTTGTTATTTATCTAAGACTTTTTTAAAAACACCTAACTGGGAGAAATTGGCATTTTTAGGGCATGATTCAGCCTGGCATCCCAAAATTTCTCTCTTCAAGATAAAAATCTTAGCAGAGCTGGTACTAAAATCCCCAGACAACTGCATCCTACAATTCCACTGTGGATTCTCTGCTTGAGCACACCCCACATTTACTCATACCTTAAAAATTATCAGAGAAAATCAAGGCTAAGAGCATTCCCACACAGATTTGGCTTGGGAGAAAAGAGGAAATACCTGGGCACAGGATCCTTCCAGTCCCCCCTTTTGTTGGCTCTGCTTGCCCTCGAGAACTCGTTTGCGCGGACGCTGCCGAACATGCCAAAGTGGATGCGCAGCCAATTGCCCCGACCCTCTGCTGCCTCTGGGGCTTCAGATCTTGAGTTCTGGGCTTCCTGCAGCTCCTCATCTTGGGAATGGGGATGTGGAACACCAGCCTGTCCCTGCTGTCCCTGGGCAGGACAGTGTGCCTCACAACCAGCCTCTCTTTGCAGCGCTGTCTCTTCTGCAGTTGGCCCAACAGGACCTTCAGCTGCCACAAATGCCAGGTACAAATTCTTCCCATGAACCTGAGAAAAGAGGTGGGATGTGCTGATGATCCATAAAGGATCATAACATTCTAGAAAGAGTTTGAATGGACCTTAAAGCTCATCTCATTCCAAGCCCCCATCCACTGGCAGGGACAACCTCCACTAGACCAGGTTGCTCAGCCTTCATCCAACCTGTTTTTGAACACTTCCAGGGATAAAATCTCTGGCAGTTTCCATACAAGTGACTTATTTGTTATAACCTCTATTAGAGTGCACATCAGCCCACCCTGAACATGGGATTCATCAGCATCCAAGCCACTCCCATCAGAGCTGGGGTCATCCTTGCAGATTCCTTTCTTTGCCTGCCTGAAGCACAAGGTGTTTAGATGCCACTCAATTCTGAATCCCTCACAGGGATTCCCATCAGGGGTTTGAAATTGGTCATCATCACTTCTGATTCCTCTTTCCACTTTGTGCTAGGCACATTTTGTGCTTTTAATTTTGCTCCACACCTTTAATCAGAGGTGAGGCTGCACCAGGCTTTGGCCAGTCAGGTCCAAATCATCATCTGGAGGTGTCAGGCCAGTGAAGCCCCAGCAGGACTGACCCGGTGTGACTTCTGACAAGTACCCACAGCACAGACATCTCAACTTAGCCAGGTGAAACCCTCAGGGAAACATTCACAGGTTCTGCACCTTCTGTCACCCAGGTGTGGGGCAATGGTGATTTCTGCCCTCAGACTTGTCATGGATCTGTAAATTCAACTCACCTGGGAGTCCTGGAGCCTCAGGGCATTCAGGTCATTCACACTGAGCTTCCTGCTGCTTCCCCCCACCTTGGCCACCACTTGTCCCACAAAATGGGAGGTCAGCAGCTGGAACTTCCTCACTGAAGGTCCCTCTGGCATCTCCAGCAGCTGCAGGGGGATTAGCAGGTCCTTGTCACACTCTGCCCTAGACTTGAAGGGAAGCTGCAACTCAGAAATACACAAAACATTCTCCTCATTTTCCTCCTTAAGTTCCTATGGTAAAATCTATGAAGATAAATGGGACCAAGGAGGAGGATGAGTTCTCATCCTAGTGGATATATATAATTTAATCTAACACAGCCCTGAATAACATACTCCAATGGCAGATTTCATGCTGCAAGTAGGAATTTGGCCTGGGGAATCTTTCAAAGTCCTTTTTTTCCTGGGGCAGTGAGAGGTTTCCCTGCCCACATCACTGGGCATGGGGATGGAAGTAGATGATCTTTAAGTTCCCTTCAAGCCATTCCATTCTGTAATTTTGTGATTAGTGACCCGGAACCAGCACAGGCAAGTGACCCATCTTTTTCCCCATACACCACGGGAAGTGCTGCTCCCATGGGAAGATCAGCCCTGGAATTAGAACATCCCCACCCCTGGCTTTACCCACTGCTTGCCCCACTGACTGCAATGGCATGGAACCAGTTGGGGAGCATTCCTGCACTCTGCTAAGAGCATCTGGGAGCAGAAGGCTCTGGATGAGGGGGAGATGAGGCAGCATCATCTCGCAGCTCCTTCCAGGAAGTCACACCAATACATGAGGAGTTATTTCTGGCATGAAGCCCCAGTTCCTTGCAGTTCTTCTGAGGACTCCTGCTGGCTGTGGGTGTGCAAGGAAAGCTCAGCTTGGCTTTCATCCCACAGTGCCAGTTCTCGCTGCAGACTAATCCCAGAGCCCAGCACTGATCAGAGGCTCAGCTTCAAGCTCCACAGCACTCAGTGAAGGAATCTGAGGCACCTGGCACAGCTATGAGACAGCTTGATGAGAAAATCAACAGCAATCCTGGGGTCCCCCGCCAGAAGAGCCATTCCCACCTCATGCCAGCCATTCCTGTGCTGGAGCACAAACCAAATTCCTTTTGGAAGGCCTCAAGAGGAAAACATGTTAGGGAACATTAATTTAATGTCTTAGATCGAGGTACAGATAGTAAGTAGTCATCAAATCTAGATTTGGCAAGGGTAAAAGACTGAGCTTTAGTCCTCTGACTTCAAGGGCATGTAATGATTATTCACAGGCCTACTCCAGTTTTATTGAAAAAATCTGCACATTATGTTTAACAAGAGGCAGCTAAAGAGATGCTTCTGCTGCCAAAGGCACCAGCAGCAGTTTGGATCCCTGGAAACAGCTGGGCACAAGGAGTCTGCCCTGACTATCCAGGCACTGGCTTCACAGATTGAATGCCAGGACAGCCCTGTGAGCCCAGAGCTCACATCCCAGGGAAGTTCATCACCTGCAGAGCCCTGACTGCTGCTAAGTCAGCTCTCCACAGCTCCTTGGAAGTGCTGGGAGCTCTCTAAGGTGTTAATGCTCACACTACCCCAGCTGTAGCCTGTCTGACAGCAAAGGAACACTCCTCCTCAAAAGGAAAAACTGCCCTGTTCCCCAACACATCAGAACCACCAGCATCTGCCCTCCTTATCCCTTGTACCTGATTCCCTTATCTCTATGTACCTCCTTATTTCACATTTTTACTCTAGATCCATTTCAGTCTCATCCACAGCACTCCCCCTTCCAAGGAGGAAGATGAGGAAAACCATCCCCAGCCCTCTGCAGGGCACGACACCCATCTCACCATGAGCATGGTACCTGAGCTGGTGCTTCTGCAGCTCTGGGGCAGGCAGCCAGGCCTCCAGGACAAACCCTCCCCCTGTATGGGCTCATTCCCAGTCCTTGTGCCCAGACAAAGGCCCAGCACCCACAGCAGAACAGAGCAAGGACAAGCTCAGGCAGCTCACCCCAGCTCTGCCTGCACCCAGGGATTGCAGGAAGGCTCCCTGTGACCTTACACCCCTGGGCAAGGCTCCTGCAGCGACTTCAAGGCACAGCTCTGACCCTCCACATGCACTCAGGGGGGTGCAGAGCTCTCTATCTTCTCACATTCAACCAAGCATCATTTTGCAGACACCATCAGAAAACAGGCATTGATTTCCCACTCCATTCTCACCCACACCACCCCAGGGCAGTGAAGGCACCCACTGCTTTTCCCCCAAGCCCCACATTCCCGCATCCAGCTCTCATGCACTGCTCTCCCCATGCCCACCGTGTGCATCCATTTGGGGAGCAGGCTGGGCAGCCTTCCCCCCCCCCCCCACTTCATTACCTCTCCTTTACTCCTCACAGCCCTTCCTGTATCTCTACCCACCCTCAACAGGACTGGGCACAACCAAAGCCCTTCCACCCACTTCTTTAAAAGGGAGGAAGATCCTCCCTCCCCTCCCCAAAAAGCAGGGGAGCTCCCCAGTTGGCTGCTGGGGCAGGGATGGGCGGTTCCAGGTGCTGAGCTCACTCACCCCCCCAGCTGTGCCGGTTTGTGAACTGGTTGGGCTGGGCGGGAAGCTGGGCAGTACCTGGCAGGGTGATTGGGTGCTCAGAGCAGGGCTGTGCCCCCGCAGAGTGGGAGGTGGCTCAGCACATCTTAAAAACAAGTGATTGGCGTTTTTCACGGCACAGCCCTGGCTGACAGCCTGGTTTCAGCTGCCGGCTGTTGTCTCTGAGTTCAGCTGGAAGCACTCAGGCTGAACAAGGCCTGCCGAGTAAAATTCAGTGAGAAGACCAAACATCTGAATCATGATGGTTTTTAAGTGTCCTCAAGGGTTTTTCCCCTCTCTGCTGTGTTCAGCAGCTTTTCCTCATTTATATTAAAATCATAGCCACAGATTGGTTTGGGTTGGAAGGAACCTTAGAGATCCAGTTCCACCTCTCTGCCATGGGCAGGGACACCTTCTGCTCCACCAGGTTGCTGCAAGTCCTGTCCAGCCCGGCTTTGAGTTGCTCCAAGCTGGGTCTGTCACCTCTCAGTTCTTTACCCTGTGTTTGCCATCCCAAATCCTACATGTAGGATTGTAGGACTGTATAGCCTCTGTGTGGCTCAACATTGATTTTCCTACAATGACTCATTGCTTGGGAATTACCAGGTCTAGGCAACAAAGATTTTTGTTCTCATTAATTACCTAATATTTATTAAATAGAAATTTTTATATAGGACAAGGAGTAATGGGTGCAAGTTGAAGGAGGGGAAATTTAGATTAGATATTAGGAAGAAATTATTAACTTTGAGGGTCGTCAGAAATTATTAACTTTGAGACACTGGAACAGGCTGCCAAAGGTGGTTGTGGCTGCCCAATCCCTGGAAGTGTTAAAGGCCAGGTTAAAAAGTCCTTGAACAGACTGGTCTAGTGGAAGTTGTCCCTGCCCATGGCAGGGGTTGGGACTAGGTGAGCTTTAAGGTTCCTTCCAACATCTTCACATTTTATGATTTCAGAAAACATTTCCACCATGAGGGTGGTCAGACACTGAACAGGAACCCAGAGAGGTGGTGAGGTTTCCATCTTGGGATATATTCAAAACTTGACTGAACAGAGCTCTGAGAAATCCGATCTCATCTTTTCTGACTTTAAATTCCTTGTAATTTTTTAATTGTGAGCTCTCTGGGACAGGACCCACTTCACCATTTCTCCTCCAGGTGCATTTCATGTTTTCAGTATTTCATCATTTACCCCCTGCCCTCTCCAAGAAGCCTATGAGGGTAGACAGAATCAAGCACAAACCTTCTGGTTTTATTATCATTGTTTTATTTCCATTAGTTCTAAAGGTGTAGAAGTTACGTGGATTGGTAGCCATACTACTTCATAATAGATATTTTTTTACATCTTTAAATAATTACAGCTTGTTCAGTTGGTTGGTTTCCCTCTCCCCTTTACAAATAAGTGTTTGTTTCCACGAGACCTTCCCAGATGACCTGAGAAGCTTCAAACTTTATACATGGGGAGAAAAAAAAAAAGGCAAAACAAAACACCACCCCTGACATAGTCACAGTTTCAATGTTACATTGAGAGTTGTTGATTGGTTTTAAAGCTCCCTTGCAATATTCCTGAGCTCCTCCTGATTGCACCCTCTCCATCCAAGCCCATAAGATTGCAAGTGATCTGTGCATCTTGTCTGATCGATTTACAGAGAATAACTGAAGTGAATCAAGACAATGCCCTTCCACAAAGAGCAAAGACGTTTAGAAGTGGTTAAATGACCTTTCTTGGCTCCCTGTCCTGGTTCTCATCTGCCCATCTCACTTTGGTGGCCACTGGGCCAGTGCCAAGGTCTGGTTTGACACAGCCAAACCTTGTGCTATAAACTCTTCAGCATCAAAATTTTCCTGATTAGGGGTGATCTCAAGGGGAACAAATCCCACAAATGCAGTTTTATATGTGCTGAGGTGTTTTGCAGGAGTGGGCCCTTCCCTCTTGCTCCTCAGAGAAGGGATAGTTCTTGGTCCTGTATTTGTGTAGGACCTGGTATGGGTCTCATGAGGTTCTCCAGCAATGAAAGCAATAATAAAATCAGTAATTACTTTGCTTTAATGGATCTCTAATAATTGTATCTAATTCATTACCAAAGCAGGCTCTAACTGCCTCCCCCATCACAGGCAGGGAAGCAGAGCTCAGGTGGAACCTGTAATTTTGTTATTAGCTCCTCTTGCTGGAAGGAGCTGAGTGAACTGACAGTGGCAGCACTTTAATCCTCTTGTCCTGTGAGTATCCCTTGGTCTGTCACCTCTGGAGTTTGTCATCCTGCATTGGCCATCCTTGCAAGACGTGGCTCTGAGTGATTCCTGGCCTTGGAAACCATGTTCAACCTCCCACAATGACTCCTTACACGGGAATCCCCAAATGACAGTAATTAATTTGCCAGTGATTCTTGGGAAAACATTTCCAGCATGAGAGCAGTCAAACACTGGAACAGGAACCCAGAGAGGTGCTGGGATTTCCATCCTTGGGAATATTCAAAAGTTGCCTGAACAAGGCCTTGAGAGACATGATCTTGTCCCTTCTAAGTTAAATTATTCTGTAATTTGATCTTTAGAAGCCCTAAAGAAGGGGACCCATCAATTATGGTGTGTTTGTACCCCACTTGAAATGGTGATGCTCATCTGAGATCAGTCTCTCACCATCCTGATACTAGAACTGGCTTGAAAAAGACAAAATCTCCTGGGCCAACAGCAGCTCTACAACAGTTTTGGGTGATTTAAAAGAACCACAGAACCTGGTGTATCTGAACTTATGCTTCTGGTGCAGAAAGGAGGACAAAAGAGCTAATTTCTACCCCTAAAGAGTTGTCTTCTACCCTTAAAGCTGCCCTCCAGAGCTTCACCTTTTGGAAGCAGATGTCTTGTTCTGTTATCAGGGACTTTTAAATGCTCCTCACTCTGTTTCAAGAATTGCTTTTCAGGCTTTGAGGAAGGCTAAAATCTAGTTAATAAATCTCTACCAAGAGGACATAAGGCAGATATGTTCTGCAGGGATTTTTTTCCTTCTGGCATTATAAGCAGAGTTCTTTCTGGCATCTCTGAGTGGGTTTCAAGGGCAGGAGAAAAATTCCACTGGGGAATTTGGCTTTGAGGGAAAGAGGAGGAGCACAGCAATAGGGAAGGGAAGGGAGAACCAATGTGAGCCTCCAGATGGAAGGAGAAATGGGGCTGTGGTTGGTCTGGACTTTTAATCCTTATCAGGAGGCTCCACTCCCTCTTGGGGCTTTCCAGGGTAGTTCTGGATCCCTCAAAAGTTGGCATGAGCCACGTGGCATTTTGTGGTGTTATGGCCAGGATTTCACAGCCAGCTCCCAGGAGGGCTCCACTGCCATTTACAAAAGGGATTTACTTAAGGAGGAGTTTGGCTAAAGATCTTCCTGCCAATGGAGAAACACCTTTGTGTTTTCACCTCAAATTCATTTTTTTCAGGGCTATTTCTGGCCTTTTCTCTAAAGCCTAGCAGGCCTGAACAAAATCACAGAATTTAATTTCGTTGTATTCATGTTTCATGAATGTCTTTCCCTCATCTGTAATTAGCACTAACGAGGCTAAACACTGCATTAGCTCCACAAAACAGTGGGAACTGGTGCAAACACCACCCAGCTGTTCCCATGGCGCCATTGCCATGGTGCTTTTCCCTAGGGAGTGTGGAGGCTCTGTCACCCCTACAAAACCCTGCAAATGTGAGCTATGGAGAGAACAGGGAATGTGGAGACTCTCCAGTCATGACCAGTCCAGTTGAATCCTTCTCCTTAGAGAAGCCTTTACACCATAGGGAGGAAAAGGGTGAGTTCAAGCAAAGACAACACAATGCCATTGTTTTGCTTCAAACCTGTCCATGGCTCTCCTCTTCACCAAGTCACGTGCCTTAGTTTGTGGGGAAGAACTCTCCTTGTGGGAGTGTTAAACAGTGGGAGGCAGAGGGTGGCACATTTGGGAGGGCTGCACAATCCCCCTTAGAGATTTTTCACTTGGTAGTTCTGTACTCGAGTTCTGGATGCGGGAAGGAAAAGAGAGGAGCTGGGAAGGCAAGAAGGGTAACAGAGCTTGGGAGCAGACAGAAACCAGGGTGAAGAATCTTGCAGGATGAATCTCCCAGGAGCTCTCTGCATGGACAGGCAAGGCTGTCCTTCCTTGGAAATGTTGATGCAAACGTCGTGGGAAGCATCTGGTGAAGCACTTGGGCTGCCCAGGGGAGCTGTGGCATCTGCCCTGCTGGAGTTTGAGTTTGTTAAACCAGAGGCAGAGCAGTCAGGGCTGGATTAGGCAGGATTGATCCCTTTGGGAAAAGGGAATGAGTCTTGCTCTTTGCATCTCTTCCAACTCCATTTGCCAGGATTCCCTGGTAGCTGAGAGCCTTATGGACAAGCAAACAGTCGAGTCTTGTTTAATGGAGTTGTGCTTCTCTTGCAGGCAAGCAAGTCTGTGCACATGCTTGATAAGGAAAACAGCCCCTGCCACCTCCTGTAGGGGCTGAAGCCACTGCTTGTTGCAAAAAGTGAAATCCTAAAGGATTAGATGTGGGAAATGGTCACGAGCCAGCTGTTAGGGGGAAAGTGGGCACTCACAGTACAGCCAAAAATAAGTGACAGTCAGATTTCATCAGTGGCATCCAAACCAACATAAAAATAGGCAAAATAATTAAATTATCTGTCTGAAAAGCAGTGGCCCAGCAGCGTTAGAAGAGCATCTTTCACTTGCTGTGCTCTTGAATCATCTCTAAACCTGGCATGTCGCTATCCATCAGGGAAGAGCCCAGCCATTTCCTCCAGGATTTGATGACCAGCATGGGTCTCATCTACCTTCTTCCAGAAGGTTCCTTCTTCCAAAATCCTCCTTTGACTTTGGGCAGACCTACTCCAGGCTCAGCCAACAACCTTTTGGAAACAGTCCCATGATTTTGTAGAGATAAATAGGAAAGGAGTTACTATTAAATACGGACATTCATGAGCTTTCCAGACCATCTAGAAAAATGAAGACAATGCTCTACATGTGTGAGCTGAGGAGGAAGGGGGATGTCTCTTTTTTTTCTCTGCCCTACATCATATCAAGTCCACTAAAGCCACTAAAGAATCTCTAGTGAAGTCTGTTCAGCAAACTGTCCTGGAACTGGCTCCATTTGGTGGAAGATCACTGAATTTTGGGTCATGAGAACACAGTGGCATTTTCTTCTGTCATGAAAAGAATGGGTGGTGGCAGAAGAAGTGTCTCTGTTCCACCACTGTCTGAGTCTTAAAATGCCAGATATTGTTAAATAAAACTCAAGAACTGTGTCCATCTCTATTTCTGGCTGTTTCATAGTAAGTGGTGACAGTCAAATAGAGAGGCTCATTTAAAGTGGGGAAAAAAGGCTTCAAATCCTTGAGTTACTCTGAGATTTGAGTCTTCTCTGTTCATTTCATAAGAGCTCCCTTACACCTTGGATAAGTTCTCTTTACCTCTTTGCTGGAACATCTCACAAGGGGAGAGAAGACAGGAGAGCAGGGGAGGTGGAGACAACATTGACTTGATGATTACGTGGCATCTTCTTCATCTTTCAAGCAGATCAGCCTGGAGTTCATAGGAAAAGGGCCAGGTTATGCAGTTATGATGTCCCCGTGGTTCTCAGCCAGCACCAGGCTGTTCCAGGAGTCCTGTTTGGAGCTGGTTTGGGGAGACTGGCTCATGGCTGACTGGTAAGCCTGGGGGGAAAGCTTCAGAGCTGAGATCGCAGGGTGAATGGATGATCCATGTCCGGACATGGCAGAGACTGAGAATGCCTGTGGAAAAAAGAGAATGCAGTGAAAAAAGCTTCAAACCTTAGAGGACCATGTAAATCCATTTAGTGTGGGCTGGTGCTGTTGTAAAAAATGTGTCTGGATTTACTGCAGGGCTGGAGATTTGCTGCACCCTATGTGGGATACTTTGGGCAGGCTCTTCCCTCCTGTCTCCCTTTCTTTCTAGTTCTAGAAACGCAGAATGGTTAGGGTTTGAAGAGACCTTAATGATCATCTCCTTCCCACCCTTGCCATAGGCAGGGACACCTTCCACCATCCCAGATTGCTCCTGTCCAGCCTGACCTTGGACACTTCCAGGGATGGGACACCCACAGTTTCTCTGGGTAACCTGTGCCAGGGCCTCACCACCTCACAAGGAAGAATTGCTTCCCAATATCCAATCTAAACCTCTCTCTTTCAGTTTGAAGCCATTCCCCTTTGTCCCATCACTCCATCCCTTGTAAATAGTCTCTCTCCATCTTTTCCTGCAGCCTCCCTTCAGGTGCTTAACAACCTAAGTAAAGTTATGAGGATGTTCTCCCCATGTCTACCACCCTATTTCCCTTTTTATTTTTTTTCCCACTGCTAACATCTCCCCTCAGTACCTGAGAAACAGGGCTGGGGTGCCCATAGTGAGATGACAGCCCAGGTTCTGTTTTGATGGGGCGCATTTCCTCGGTGGTCGTGGTGCTGCTGCTGCTGCTGCTGGTGGAGCTGGTGGTCGGGGTAAGACTCTCGCTGCTGGATGGGCCTGGGGTAAAACCAGAGGGTAAAACAGGCTCTTTCCAAAGAGCTTTCAAGCACAGAGTTGTGCTCACTTCTGGGTAGAAGTGAGTGTGGTAAAAATGAATTTTAAAATAGTTGGAAGGGTATTCAGGTATTTAGACATCTCCCATTTTTTAAAAATTCGCCTGTTTTATCATTGGATCTCTCTAATTTGAGGGCACTGTGGTTAGAAATACAAGTGCACACACAAATACAAATAATAAAATAAATTTCTTCATTCAATACTTACCTGCTGGTGCCTTTGTTTTGTTAAGGTTCTTAGGCTTGCGTTTCCTCGTCTGAATTCCCTCTTTTCTCATGGCTAAAGGCCTTGGGACCTGTGAGTCCAAATAAAAAAGCACATTGTTTTCTGAATGTCCTTAAGGTCATCTAAGAGAACATGATTCCAGTTCTAACTTGTGGTCCAGCTGGTTTAATTGAAAGCAACAACAAAAAGGAGCCCAAATTCCCTGGTCAAGGGAGATTAAAGATGTGCATCCAAATGGGAATAAGAAGATCACACCATGGTATTGAGTGTTTTAGGGCCAGAAGGGAACTACAGCTCATGTGTTTGTGCTTCTGACTTGGCTCTTTTACTAAAATGCCTAAATTTATGTGGGAAGAATCCGGGCCTTGTTTCATTAGATTTTAAGACTTATTTGCAAAGGCGACCTAATTAGTAAGTGAGAAGTGCCCAGCATGTACACCCCCTTGCAAGAATAAACACAACGTGACCTTGAGGGGGACTAAACCCAAAAGGACAGCAGGAAAAGCAGCTCCAGGAGAGCACAGAGCTATGTAAAGAACCCAGCCCCCAGCCTGGTGCCACGAGCAGCCTCCCACAGCCAGGATTTACCCCGTGGAGCTTCATGTAGAGCCCGCAGGCGTTGCAGACGGGCTCCCCCTCGGCGTTCCTGCGCCACAGCGTGGTGGTCGTCGTGTGGCAGTTGGCACAGGAGAGCCCAACACGGCGGGATGCTGACTGTGGGGACAACAGAACAAGGAAACAGTGAGCCCTGCAGTGCCCTCACCAGCTGCACCCCACATCCCAACCAGCTCGCTCCACCACGCCTCAGGGTTCCCTCTCCTCTTGCCTCTCGTATTTTTCCGGCTTTTTATCTTTTTGCCCCTTTGCAATTGTCCAACTGCATCTTTCTGCCCCTCTTGCCTTTCCACTGACTCCAGGAGGTCTCAGCTATCCTAGGCCATCTCAGGTGCCACCAGAGACATGAAATAGAATCATTGGAAAAGACCTCCAAGACCATCGAGTCCAACCTGTGACTGATCACCACCCTGTCACCCTGCCCAGGGCACTGAGGGCCACATCCAGTTGTTCCTTGGACACCTCCAGGGATGGGGACTCCAGCACCTCCCTAGGCAGCTCCAGCCGATGCCTGACCACTGTTTCAGTGAGGAAATTCTTCTGGATGTCCACAGTAAACCTCTCCTGGCACAGCCTGAGGTTCTCTCCTCTCATCCTGTCCCTGTTCCTGGCAGCAGAGCCCAGCTCCCACCTGGCTGCCCCCTCCTGTCAGGGACTTGTGGAGGGCCAGAAGGTCCCCCCTGAGCCTCCTTTGTCCAGAATCCCACATCACCTGAACAGAGCCCCAGATCTCCAGCAGCTCCAGTGGCAGCTTAGAGACTCCCTGCACATGCACCCACCTACCCTAAGGTGTCTGGATCTCAGACCATCCCGCCTTTTCCAGCTCCCAAGCCCTTACAGGCATCGTGGCTATCCCAAGAAAATGTGATCAATTCCATAAATGTTCCATATTCCTTGCTGGCTTTGTGCTATGTTGTTTATAGAGCTCAAGGGGAAGATAAAAAAAGAGAAGCTTCCAGCAGTGTTTTCTTCCTCTTGATAAAGAGGGATAATTAATAGGAAGTCTCACTAATGAATTAGGGAGCAGACCCAAAGTTCCTTTTCTGGGTGAACTGGTTTAGTCAGGCTCAGAAGGCAACAGGAGAAAGCACCGGGCTTGAGGCCATATAAAATACAAGTTTAGAGCTGAGAAACAGTGGGAGGTGGAGGAAGGAAAAGCCACATCGTCCACATCTGCCTGACTTTTGCCATCATCCTTCAAAGCTCAGGCCTTAGAGGCCAGTAAATGAGAGAGGGAAGGTCCTGGGTGCCGGGTGAGATCCTGCCTGGATCATTGGGACTCCGGAAAGGCGTTTCACAAGAGGGCGCTCGGTGCCCGTGGCTGCTGGCAGCGCTCAGCCTGCCCGTGTCACTTTGTCACTCTCGGGGGACGCCTGGGTTTGGGCACAGACAGGGTTACAAAGGGCGGTGTGGGGATGGAGCCTCGTGGAAAACAAGGAGTGTGGAAATCTGGCTTTCCGGTGGCTGCTTTTAGCTTGGGTTCATGATCAGAGAATGTTAAGGTATCATAGAATGTTGTGGAATCATAGAATTTTAAGGGGGTAGAAGGGATCTTAAAGCTCATCTAGCCCCACTCCCCTGCCATGGGCAGGGACACTTTCACTATACCAGGTTGCTCAAGGCCTTATCCAGCATGGCTTTGAACACTCTCAGGGTTGGAGCATCCACAGCTTCCCTGGGTAACCTATTCCAGAGTCTCACCACCCTCACAGAGAAAAATTCTTCCTAATACCAAACCTAAATTTCCCCTCTTTAAAGTTGTACCCATTGCTTCTTTCCTGTTACTCCAGTTCCTGATGAAGAGTCACAGATTCCCTGTAGGACCCTTCAGGTACTGGAGGGGGCTGTGAGGTCTCCACAAGACCTTCTCTTCTCCAGGCTGAACTGTCCCAAACTTCTCAGCCTGTTGTGATGGACTCATGTCACTGGGGATACAGAGACTTTCCCAAAACCCCTCACCAAAACATGCATGGAGCAGCAGAATATCAACTGAGCCCACAGAATCATGGAGTGGTTTGGGTAGGGAGGGACCTTAAAGATCAAGTTCCACCCCCTGCCATGGGCTGGGACACCTTCCACTATCCTAGGTTGCTCCAAGCCCCATCCAAACTTGCCTTGGGCAATTCCAGGGATCCAGAGGCAGCCACAGCTTCTCTGGACAACCTGTGCCAGGGTCTCAGCACCCTTACAGGGAGGAATTTCTTCCTAATATCCCATTCAAGCCTACTCTGTCTGTTTGAAACCATTCCCTGTTGTCCTGTCATCCTTGTAAATGGTGTCTCTCCATCTTTCCTATAGGCTTCCTTCAGGAAAGCTGCAATAAGGTCAACCCAAAGCTTTCTGTTTTTCAGGCTGAACAATCCTGTTCCTGTCCCCCAGGTGCCTTGTGCACACCCCACCCTGACCCCAGAGGCATTGGGATGCCCTGACCTGCCCTACAATGGGGGCTTCACCTCATACAACAGATATGGGAGCAGAGTATCCAAAATAGAAATCCAGAAAAGTCACCATGAAGTGAGGGGCTCACCCAGCAGTGACGAGGGATCCCTGTGGATACTGTTCTGGAACTGGAAAGAGTTGCCATTCCTCCAGATATCCCCAAATCACCCTGTGTCCTACAGCCCCTTCCACCGCCTGCCTGAGTGTCTGGAGAACTGCTCTGGGCAGTAGCAGGGCTTGGAGTATCCCAAGCATGAGAAAATCTGTTTTGAAAGTCTGGACCTCAGCTGGGCAGATGGGAGTCGAAACACCCCTGGCATCTCCAGCTGGCTGAGATTTCTGTGCCTCCTCCTCCCACAGGTGTGATCTGGACTTACCAGCCTCCTCTGGGGTTTGAACAGGGGCCGGTTGATGCCGTTCATCTTGTGGTAGAGCCCGCAGGCGTTGCAGAGGTAGTGCCCCGTGCCGTCCCTCCTCCACAGCGGCGTGGACATGGCCCCACAGTTGACACATTCTCGCCCCTCGGAATAATCATCAAAAAATTCTGCTGCCAGGATGGGAGAGAAGGGAAAAGACTTCGTTAATTAGGTGGCTGTACCTGTAATTGCTGCTCTGCTTCTCAGTTAAGCCCAGAACAGATATTTCAAGAAATCACAAATGTTCAGATTTTATAGGTTGCAAGAAATAGATTTTATAGAAATCTTTTGCAAGAAACAGCTCTTTCTTTCCCAAGGAAGCCCCCCTGGGATTATTGGGAAGAGGGACTCCTTTCCTTGCCATGGCTTCAGGACTTCTGTGGCAGCAGGGATGTGCTGGGACACAGATACCAGGAAGCTCTGATATTATCAATTTTCCCTTCTGCTCTGATGTTATCCAATTTTCAAGATTGGCCATAGCCAGGGCAAGCAGATCGGGGCAGGTGAGCAACCCTGGTTACAATCAAGGCAGATTCCTGAGACCGTGGATAGCCACAAACCCCACAGAGCAGACCTGCCCAGAGCTCAGGCAGCTGCACCTCAGAAAACTATTCCATGTGCCCTGGTCCCCATGGGAATGCTCCTCACCCAGCCCCTCTGCTGGGGGGAATGGCTGCCGAGAGCCAAGGGGAGGTTCGTGTGCCTTCACCCCATTCTCTGCACAGAAAACGTCTCCTGAGGTGCAGGAATCCACAACTTGAAGGAGTGGATGTAGATGTGAACCTTCATGTGCAACTTGAAGGTTCCCTGCCCATGGAAGGGGGTTGGAAATGGATGGTCTTTAAGGTCCCTTCCAACCCAAATTATTCCATGGTTCTGGGATTCAAACCCCAGCTCAGGCTAACAGCTAACAGGGATTGTTGGGAATTTATGTGTGTTAGAGGCTCAGCTTTTGATAGAACTCTGTATTGTGTTTGATGCCACACTCCAGGACTTGCTGCATTCACCCACTGCATTCCTGGTACATCCTTCATTGGGGCTTGGCTGTAGCTGGGATTTGAGGGACAACTGGGCATGGGGTGATAGGAGAAGGGGGAATGCATTTAAACTGACAGAGGGCAGGGTTAGGTCAGATGTTAGGAAGAAATTCTTCCCTGTGAGGGTGGGGAGTCCCTGGTGCAGGTTTCACAGAGAAACTGTGGCTGTTCCATCCCTGGAAGTGTCCAACACCAGGGGGGACAGGGCTTGGAGCAACCTGGGATGGTGGAAAGTGTCTCTGCCCATGGCAGGGGGTGTGGAATGAGATGAACTCTAAGGTCCCTTCCAACCCAAACCATTCTGTCATTCTGCACTGGGCTGGGCCAGTCCAGTCCCTCTGGCTGTGACAGGACCAGGAGGCTCAAAGGTCAGCACAACACAGCTCAACTGCATCATCATCCTTTGGAAAGACACTGCTCCCTCCCCGTTCCATGCAAACCCTTCCAGAAACCAAGAACTTCACTGTATTTTTTGTCCACCTGCTTTTTACACAAAAATCTCAGCTTCCTGCTGGAAGACAATTGCTCCCCAAGGAGCAAACCAACAAAATTTGGCTTCTGGCTGAGTTGTGCCTCAGTCCCATGTGGATTCTCTGATGTCTAGCAAGGGTTATGTTCAGACGTGGCCTTATTTTCTCTTTTCCCCAGACTATTTTTGGAAAATCTGCAGGAAACTGCATAACTGTGAAGCAGCCAAAGGACAAAAAAAAATTAATGAAGTGGCGCCAGTTAGCAGAGACAAATATTCACGTGAGCTTAATTCTCCCTAGGAAATCTGGCTAAAAATGGCAGGAGATTACACCATGTGCCCATGGGGAAATGGTAGAGAGCAGTAATTTATTGTACCTAAGCAGCTCTGGATCCAGAAAAGCAGGAATCCAGTATCTTCCCAGCAGTTTGGGAAAATCTCACTACCCTGGGGCAATTCTGGTGGTTTCAAGAAGATGGGAATCCCTCCAGGTGATTTTTGTCCACATGGATTCAGTGATGCCATAACCCTCACTTTCACCCTTAAAATGACAATTGAGTCACAGCCAAAATCTAGATCAAATAAACTTCCTTTGAAAAGAGAAGGGATTGGAACAGCTGGTCAGGAAAGAACTCATTTCCTTGAAAAATCTCAAGAAAGGAAAACATTTCACTTTTTTTTTTTTTCATCTTAGAAGTTGTTGAGGTTTTTGATTATAATTTTCCAAAGAAAAAGCCAAAGTATTTTTGCAGTAAATTTTTCCTGTAAAAAATGCATTCTTCTTCGAAAATAATTCAGTACAGAGTTGTGGACATAATCCAGGGAGAATTTAGCAGAGCAGAGGTAATCAAAAAGGTAACAGTTAAAACTTGAGTGATTTGAGTTGTGCCTGTGACTAATTACAAAATACAGTCTTTCTTGGAAATTTTTCCACCAGGAAACCAAAATATAAAAGTTTTTATTAAAAGACAAAGAAGAGAATTCCTAACAGTCCCTTGGAAATGTTAAGAATTGGACTAGTTCTTAATAAGAAGGTCCCTCAAAAAAATGTCAAGTATGGATTTATTTCTGCTTTTAGAAAAATGTAAGTCTCCTATCTGCTGGCAATAAATAATTTATTGCCAAAAGTTGTGTTATTTCCCAAGAGGGGGACACCCAGCTCCAATGCCACGATATTTTCAGTGTTGTTTTCTCATCAACATCCAAAACACCAGTGCATACCTGCCTGGAGACCTGCTCTCTTTTCCCTTCTGCATTTGACTGATATTCTTCCTATTTCTTTGGTTGGGTTTTGGGGTTTTTCCCCAGTTTCCTTGGGATTTGGACTGGAACATCTATCTCAAGGGACTTCCAAAAAATCACAGAATGATTTAGGTAGGAAGAGACTTTAAAGCCCATCTCATTCCAGCCTCCTGCCATGGGCAGGAACACTTTGAAATATCCCAGCTTGCTCCAAGCCCCATCCAAACTTTCATTGGTTGAAGTTTCCATAAGTCCCCTTCTGCTTCCGTGGCAATAACATTTGTGAGACTTTCCCCTCTCAGCTGCAGGCAAAGGTGATCCTTGTGGAGGTTCATAAACAGGAATCATTGGTGTTGGAATCAGGGAAGGGACAGACTTTGTTCCCAGGGGACACCGAGGCTCCAGCAATGGGCGGCTCTCCCTAATCACAGCCCCTATCAGATGGGTGTGTCCCCTCTGGGCACCACCCAGTGCTGAGTCAGATGACACCCGCCAAGTGCAGCCTCATTAAAAATATTCCTGCATCCTGGAGAGCTCCTTGACCTCGAGAGATATCACCTGGAGGAGAGATATCCTCACCTGCCTCAAAGAATGCTTTGGGATGGCACAGGAGGTGTCTTGAGCACTGCTGTAAGTTGGTTTAGAGATGATGATATGGGATTGGTGCGTGTCATTTATTGAACAAAAGGTGTTTGGGCCCTAAGGAAGTGGGAAACAAGGGACTAGATGTCTTTCTAGAGGAAATTATATTTTTATAATTGTTATTTTGTATATATACAATTATATATATATTCATAGCATCAGTGAACTCCAGAATGAAGTTGCCACGGGGAGTTTTCTGAGCTGTCATTCTGGCCACACGTCCCCCCTGCTCTGTAGAATCCTGAAGATCTACAAAATAATGAGAAAGGGTCACCTGAAGACCTGCAGCTTGTGCAGTTTGATGTGGGTGGGTGTTCAGGACCCAGGAAACCAAAATGTTCCCAGGGCTCAGAGCCCACAGGAGCTGGGATCTCCAATCAGACTGAGCTAAATTGGGCATGGAGGTCACTGGGCTTCAAATGCACTAATTGTTTAATTTGTCACTGTTATTAATAATGGGGATTAAGGAGACTCCCCAGGAAAAAGCAGCAAAGTGTTTCCTTGGCTTCTGGCTTGGGGCTGGAGCTCTAAATCCTGGCATTATGAGATCCCCTGACACTTATTCCTTGTACTTTGCAGCCGGGAAAGGAAACGTTTATTCAGGCAGCAAATGGCCCGAGCAGCTCCCGGAGGGCCCTGAACAATGAGGGGGGAAGGAAAGGCTCCCCCAGTCACACTCAGGGCAATAATTTCCGTTCTGTGGCACAGGAGCCGCTGCCTGATAATGGAGATTTATGGGTCCATCCGGTGACCTCTGGAATGGCCTTTCTGCTGGAAAGATTTACTCCCCCTCCCAAAGCCAGGTACAGCCAGCACTGGGACAGGGTTGAGGGAAGGATTTGCTGATCAGGCTGAGAAGGAGCCTCATGTGTGCTGAGTGTCCTCATCTTCCTCTTTGAGTGTTCAGCTTCCCCACGTGCCTTTGCCAAGCCCTTATCTTGTATCTTGGGATCATTCAGTCCTTTTTATGGGCTGGGTCCCTGGTGTTGGCTAATCCTGATGGCCTTCTGCTTAATTCTTCATAAAACCCTGCCTTTAGTCAATGAAGGAGCTTCTCACATGAAAGCAGATCATGAAATCTCACTGAATGACCAGTGGAGAGAATGGATTGCGTCCCATCCCTATCCTGGTCATCAACTTGCTGTGTAAATTGAGATTTTTTTTCCCCTCACATCTACTGTTTATGAGCACTGCAAGGTCCCCAGGGCAGGAAATGTCATTTGTGTGTTGCACAACAGGCTGCTAATCTTGGGTGAGGCCTTGAGTATGCTCATGTCAGAAATACTTTCCACAATGGGATATCCAGTCCCCAGGGAGCCAGGAGTGACTCCTGAGTGGGACACAGGGGTCTGGTAGGGAAAAAAAAGAATTCTTGGATGTGGCCCTTCTTGACACTTGGTCGTTGGGAGGGATCCTTCACATCCACTGAGATCAGCCTGTATGGACAATGCTGAGGTCATCAAAAAAGCAGATTGGAGCTGTTCCTGCCAGCCCACACCTCCAGCACCTCTGGCTTACCAAAAGTCTCAGGAATTTTGTCTTCCCAAGCAGGAGAACCAGATATCCACGTGCAACTCAACCCAAGGCTTGAGCCTGCAGCGTGGCTTGACTTTTTCCTACCATCTTTGCAAACCCCAACTCTGCCAGCCTAGCACTACGTCCATGCCTGAGTCCAGAACTTTGGGCTTTCTTTAGGAACCCATCCCTGGAAGTGGTCCAGGCCAGGCTGGATGGGGCTTGG